TAATTGTTATAGCACAAAACAACAATTTAATCATTTCAAATTGATGTATAGCATGCCATAGTAGTAGACTGGCCTTAGCATCCATACACTTTGGTCAATTATCATTTCTTACATGTACATCTGGGTCTGATCTTAGTGGCTGCGGTGTCCAAGGCCATGGCCGCACAGTATCAGCCCTCCCTCACCTCTCCCAGAACTGACACCATGCCCAAGTATTACAGTTTAGCAATACAAGGAGACACTCCGCTGTGTGGTGCCTCAGAGATACTCTGAGCTTAGAACCTCGCTGTGTATGGATATATATGAACCTGATCCAAAATGATCTCAATTGCAGCCCTCTCTATTGGCTCTAATGCTTTGTCAATAGATCTGGAATGCTTAAATAAAATAGTATAATCAGTGCAAGTGATCTCCGGAAGAACTTTGAATATGGATTTGAGCATTGTTAGAGAAGCTTGTCTCACATTTACAGGACGACTGTTCCAGCTGTGACTTGTACAAGATTTAATTCAAAACGAGTTGTAACCATAATGAGGATCCCCTGATATATACCTGTGTCCCCCTGTTTGGGAAGCACGGCCTTCTCTGTTAGTCGACTGCATCACATGAGCTGTTTCCAGTCTGATGAGAGTTCATAGCAAGATGGCGCCAGCAGTGTGCACGGCGCTCCGTCTCCCTGTCCTATTTGGAGTTTGGTTAATTCTATGGATTTGTGTCTATTGCTCTAATGTCTCTGCATCACTTGTGTATGACCGCAGGGCATTACTAAATATTCGGACTTCGTATGAAACCTACTTGAAGCACTGTTTTGCCAAACAGGATTCATGTCCACCACCACCGCCACTTTTAGCTTCTATACCGGCTCACCTGCGCGTTGCTCCTCTTGGTGCGCATCGTAGGAAACGCAGGAGAGGGAAACGAGGTGGCATCCTGGTAAAAGTTAGAGCTTACCAACGTGCCAAAAAAGGCTTTTCTCCACATTATGGTCACGCTTCTGGAGATCTTCATCGGCGCTGGCTTGTCCCTATACCGCTGATTGGAGCCCCTATCGGGACTCACCCGATGTCAACGCCGCCTTTGGAGTGGATCAGTCCCCGGAGACGCAGAGCTAGCCGCCCAGGAGTAAACCAGGAAAACCTTTGCATGCTAACTCATGCCCGCATGCCTAACAATGAGGACTTTCTTCATATTGCGTTAATGAATGTCAGATCATTGGCGAATAAGACCTTCGTACTCAATGCTTTTTTTGTATCTCGTCATTTGGATCTAATGCTTTTGACAGAAACCTGGATTCGGCCCGGTGAGTGTGCAGCCTTTTCTGAGCTCCTTCCTCCTGACTGTGACTTTATTAGCACTCCTCGTACCTCTGGCAAAGGTGGAGGGCTTGCCACTGTATTTAATTCTGTTCTTAAATGCCGTCAGTATCCATCAAACTCCTTTTCGAGCTTTGAACTGCAGCTATTTGTGATACAGCGTAGCGTGCCTGTGTTGTGCGCGCTCATTTATCGTCCGCTTAAATTCAATAAAGATTTTATCGTGGACTTTTCGGACTTTTTAGCAGGAATTGCTCTTAAATTTGACCATTTTCTAATAGCTGGTGATTTTAATATCCATGTCTGTTGTGACTCCAAGCCTTTGGTCAAGGATTTTAAAACTGTGATTGACTCTTTTGATCTGACGCAGTGGGTCAGTGGCCCCACGCATGAAAAGGGGCACACACTCGATCTCGTTCTATCTTATGGTTTGACTGTACGCATCGAGGATCTCTGTAATACACAGATTTCGGATCATATACCTGTTTTGTTTTCACTGAATCTTCCCTGCCTTTTGGCTCCATGTGCCATGGCGCGCAGGCGACGCGTAATCACGTCCTCTACAGCAGAGGCATTCTCTAATGCCTTTGTTTCTGCTGCGCCTTCACTGTCGTGTGACTCTGATACTGATGCGCTAACTTGTTTGTTTACGTCTACGTGTACTGTAATTCTGGATTTAGTTGCTCCTTATAATACATGTAAGCCTAAGAGTAAGTCCCAGCCCTGGCTAAATGACACCACGCGCGCGCTCAGGCGTGAGTGCCGACGTGCAGAAAGGCGTTGGAAAAAGGACAGACTTCATGTTTCCCTGGGCATCTTAAGAGATTGTTTGTCTAATTATCAAAGAGCAGTAAAATGCGCTAAAACTGAGTACATGTCAAACCTGATATCTACAAATGGTCACAAACCACAAGTTCTTTTTACTGTTTTAAATCGCCTTGTGAATCCCACTGAATCCAGTGGCATTGTACCATCAGAAACTTTGTGTGTCAATTTTCAAAGATTCTTTGTGGATAAAATATCTGCTATTCGGGATTCTACATTACATTGTGCTGCTGTGGACCCTTCTGTGAATTCTGTTTGTTCTGTGGTCCTTGAACATTTTGATTCTGTGTCACTTGATGAGCTGTCTACTGTGGTGCGCCAGTTAAAACCCTCTGATTGTCCACTTGACTGTGTCCCGTCTAAACTTCTTAAAGACTCCTTCAGTGTGATTGGGCCCTTTATAATGAGAATTATCAATTCATCATTGATCTCGGGCAGCGTCCCAAGTGCTTTCAAGCATGCTGCTGTCCAGCCTCTACTTAAAAAACACAGCTTAGATCCTGAAGTTCTGTCTAACTTCAGGCCAATTTCTAAGTTGCCTTTTTTATCAAAAGTTCTGGAGAAATTGGTTCACGCCCAAATTCAGTCTCACTTGGAAGCAAATAGCCTCTTTGAAAAATTTCAGTCGGGTTTTAAACCGTGTCATAGCACTGAAACTGCACTCTTAAGAGTTTTTAAATGACCTTCTTTTAAATGTTGATTCGGGTCACCCCACTATTTTAGTGCTTTTAGATTTAACTGCAGCGTTTGACACGGTGGACCATCAAATACTGCTTTCCCGCCTTGAAAACCATGTTGGTATTGGAGGAACGGTCCTAAAATGGTTCAGATCATATCTTGAAAATCGCTCCTTCTCTGTCCACCTGGGACCTTACAGCTCAGATGCGGCCCCACTGAGCTGCGGAGTGCCACAGGGCTCAGTTTTAGGTCCTTTATTGTTCTCACTGTACCTGTTGCCCCTTGGATCTATTTTCAAAAAACATAAGATTCCCTTTCATTGTTTTGCAGACGACCTGCAAGTCTATCTGCCATTGAAACCAGGTTCAGACGGCATCCAAGCTCTGTTACATTGTATTCAGGATGTAAAGGACTGGTTGGCCCAGAATTTTCTAAAACTTAATGAATCTAAAACGGAAATTGTCGTTTTTGGAAATTTGTCTGATCCATCTGTTCTTGGCCCACTAAAAGGCTACTGTCACCAGTCAGCCAGGAGCCTTGGTGTGGTCCTAGATGGATCTTTTAAGTTGGACAAGCAAATAGGTTCAGTTGTAAAGTCAAGTTTTTACCAACTGCGTCTTCTGAGTAAAATTAAGCCGTATTTACCACATAGAGATCTGGAGAGTGTGATTCATGCCTTTATAACATGCCGCTTGGATTACTGTAACTCGTTGTATTGTGGGCTAGACCAAAGCTCGATCCATCGCCTGCAGTTGGTACAGAACGCTGCAGCGCGTCTGCTCACGGGAACCAAAAGGTTTGAACATATAACCCCTGTGTTGGCCTCTTTACATTGGCTCCCTGTAAAATACAGAATTCAGTTTAAAATGCTGTTGTTGGTGTTTAAGTGTTTGAATGGGACGGCTCCTGCGTACCTTTCTGAGCTTCTGTCTGTTCATACTCCGAGCAGAACATTGAGGTCAGCTAACGAGTTTCTGTTAGACGTACCGAGGTCACGAATGTCGACCAGAGGAGACCGGGCTTTTGCTGTCGCGGCTCCGACGCTTTGGAATGGTCTCCCCTTAAATATTAGGGCAGCCCAGTCTTTAGGCATTTTTAAGTCTATGTTGAAGACCCATTTGTTTGCGAAGTCCTTTAATTAAAACTGAGCAGGACTTTTTTTCTTTGCTGGTGTTGATTTTTGTTTTTCCGCATCTGTATTTTAATTTTATTATATTCAAATTGTGTATTTTATATACATGTATTTTTGTGTACAGCACTTTGGGCAGCATTGTTGTTTTAAATGTGCTTTATAAATAAACTTGACCTTGATTTTAGCTGATGATTAAACTGTGAATGTAATACATTTGCTTCATGTCTTGGAACATTGGCACAACTGGAACTGAGTAAAAAATGACCTAGTTACTGGTGAAGGAGGACACAGCATTGAGGGTCCTGTAGGTAGAGAAGTGATGACAAACTCTGAAAGCTATATTGATATTTCATATTTAAAATAGGTTTGTCCATGATCTCATTATTTCAAGCTTCACAACAATCTCTTGATCCTCCAACATGACTGGTCATTTCAGTAGTTTTGACTCGTGTTTTTACTTTATGTTGCTTCATTATCCAAGAAGTCTCAGACAAACGTTCAACATTTTTTGTAAGAAAGATCTGAAGGAACATAATCCCCATGCATAGAAACAATATGCTAAACAGTTCTAGGTCTGGTCAGTATTTTGATGGGAGACCATTGTTAAAAGAGGTAGACTTCGCATATCTCTTCTATGACAGGTGCGTAGGAGTGGGCGCGCACAAGGTGGCCAAACATGAAAGAAAGGATGACACCCGCACACTGTCCAAACTTGCAAACACCAGTGGTTTATTAGCAACGTTTCGGCCAAAGGCCTTCCTCAGGCAAAATCTTATAATAATATTTTGCCTGAGGAAGGCCTGTGTGTGCGGGTGTCATCCTTTCTTTCTTTGATGGGAGACCATTGCCACAGTGGGTCAGTTGGACACGCCACCAAGATTTTCTCGTATGGAATTTTGTCTTTGTGATAAGTCCTGTATAAAAAGAGAATTGACTTACTTCTCTTCCATGGACGTGTTGGGTGAATGTAGTATATAACCTTCTGCTAACCCATGCGAATCCATGCTAACCAATGCTAACCCATTCTAACCAATGCCATGTTTGTGTTCCAGACTGAATGATCCAGCGGTGCTCCCAGCTGGTCCCTGCTCACCTCAGAGGCCTGACCATGAAGACTGCAGCTGACTGATCCTCTCTGAGAAGAGGTGAGACACAAGAACACACACACACACACACGGCCAACACTGCTGCTGATCACGCACAAACTGTCACAATGGCGTCACCAAATGTCAAACAGAAACCTGCGGCAACAATGTGAACTGATGTGTGAGAGCAGAGCCGTGCGTAGCAACTTTAAAATGCAGGAATTCAATTCATTTTGTCTGCGGCAGTGTTTCTCCACGTGACCTTGGGACCCACCTGACACCTCACAAATGAAGTCATAACCCATACATGTAGATTCACGAGCCTTTTCCATTTCAAAAGACTCACTGCAACTATCTCCAGGTCAAGGGGACTTTAGAATTGATTTATTGTGAGTAAACGATGACAGTAGAGAGAAAATTAGATAGATACTGGATAGAAATGCAGATGTACAGAAACTCATCCACACAAACAAATAAATACATAATTCTAAAAGTTACTAACAATAATAACAAAGTGCAACAGCAGCAGAGGTTAGATATTTTGATGGTTTAAAGGAGCAGTATTTAAAAAATCTGGCCAAAAGTGGTACTGCACTCTCCCTGACTCAGGTTGCCAGATATGCAGAGGAATCCAGCTGGGACCATAATAGCTGAATATACGAGTATAAGAGTATATATAAGAGTTTTGTGAACAACAAATTTAAAACCAACCCCTTTTTCTCAAAGATAGAAATACCTGTTGTATTCCTTGTTTTGTCGTTAATGATTTGAGAATCATAACGAGACCTTTTTTAGTACTTTACCAGTGAGATTAGCTCCACGCGGTGAGTTGTGGCAACCCGGATCACAGACTTTCTGAGCGGTAAAACGGTGGAGGGCGGGACATCGAAATAAAAACCGTAACAAGATTTAGGGGCTGTAAAACTAATTTTGAAATCAAAATATCTCTGCTGAACTACTGTTATCAGTTAAAACCACCCTGTGTAATTTTTACAGCTGCTCCATGTGAAAAAACATGTTAACTAATAACAAATGTGACCTTTTTAAGAATATTTACCTCCACCATGTTTTTTAAATTGTATTCATAGGCTTAGCATTGAACTTATAAGTGTCCATGAGAGAGGAGGACTATCCGTGTAAATGCGCCATCTTGAAAACCGGTGGTGGATAAGGACAAAAAGCGAAAAACGCGTTTTCGTTTCACATAAGTTACTGATATTGATTTCACCGTGCCTTCACAATTTGGAAGAAGGGACCACAGAGGACCATAGTTAAGTAAAAGAACGATCGGAACAACAATCTTTTAGATAAATAATTATGTAGAAGTCCAGCGTCATAGCAGCGAAGTGTCAACATCGCAAATCACACGCACAAAGACATCGTTAACAACAGGAGGTACATCGTGTATTTTGTACACAACAGACTCACACGTGAACAATACGTAACTTTTTCACACTGACAATAATGAGAACAAGGCAGAATCTGCAACACAGTCTCAGGATGTTCTGACCCGATCCAAGCGCAGTCCAACTACTGTCACAAGTTTCAACTAAACTTATTCAGGGACAAGCATCAAATAAAACACACAGAATCCCCACAAAACGATCGCCAGAATAATGTATCAGCAGCGTGAGTGAATGTTCTGTTTTTCTTTCCTGTTGATGGAGCTAGGGCGCTGTGGCTAACGCTAATGCTAACATGAGCTTTGCCATGTCCTGCTGCTGCTGTGTATATCTCCTGCTTCTTTGATCACCACAGTTTTAACCTCACACAGACTTTATTCCTCCATGTGTCTCTTCTCTTCACACCGTGTTTGTAAAACTATATATTATAACAGATCCATGGTAAAACTCAGTAGAGCCTCTGTGTAGGGTGCTGCTGTCTGAACGCGTTCTTGTTTACATGTTGGCTCTATGCGTCCACGCATTCTTTCCTTGGCAGTCTGGTGAAAGACTGAGAGTTGAGGAGCACTGTCAAACAGTATAGGCAAAAGTCTCCTTAACTCTACAGGCAGTCAGGCACCCGTACTCAAATCTCAATATATGAGACTGCAATATAAGATCTCAACGCTGGAGGCACTAGAAATTACACAGTGTACCTTTTAAAGAAGTATTGGAAAAGAGCAATGCCTTTTGACAGATTAGGGCCCTTTAATGATGAATTGACTTGAAAATCTTTTGCTACTTTAACAATTAAAAAGATAATTGTCCTAAAGCTCAGTGAATATGGGATTTCTCGTAGCAGAAAAGTGGCTCCAGTGAGGTTTCCCCTGAGAACATCACAGAGACGACTTGTTACACATTGGGTTGTCTGCGTGTGTGTGTGTGTGTGTGTGTGTGTGTGTGTGTGTGTGTGTGTGTGTGTGTGTGTGCGGGCCAGCTGAGCACACATTCAATAATTCATGTTTGAGTGAGTCCAGGCGCTGACCTTGGATCAGTGTCCGGGCCTGTAAAACCCGACACGGCCTCTCACTAAGGACACACACACACACAAACACACACCCACACACACACACTACACAAGTGCGTACAACAGGCCGACTTTTGGACACAAAAACATTGTTCAACATGAATCCTCATCACACACACATACCTGGGTCTTCGTTGATAAAGGAGCGTCACATTTAAGCTCCATGGAAACAGATACAAACACAGACTTATCAACACATGGTCATTGGTCAACTCCCTGATGGACCAATACCTATGAGCTACTTTTTTGGGAAATGCTGCATGGAAGTGGTTTAAAAAGTGAGTCAGTACGGTATAATGATGACATGCGTTGGATTGCTTTAAAGCTAACTTTGACTTATTATCAATTTTTTAGGTGTTCAAAGGTAAATATTTACGATGGCTGTCGGGAAAGGACCTCATCTGAAATCTGAAATCCTTTAGAGAGCAACTAGGAAGGCAGTGGCGGGACACTGGTTGCTCCTGAGCTATTGTTTGGAGACCCCTGATGTAGTGTATGACTATTACATGTGCAGACTCCCCCAGGTAACCATGGGCCTCGTGTCTGCATCTGTGTTGTCAGTGCAGTAGTCTGTCACTGGTGTGGAAACTTTCAGTAAAAAATTCAGAATAAACTCTTCCTTTTATTGTTGTAAAAAAGACAAAGTGTGCAAAAGTGCTAGATGTATTTAGTACTTTTTCAAAAGCAATAATTATACAAATATGTGTAGGATGAGCACATCACATGACATGAGCACACAGACACACACACATTGACACGCACAGTGGCTGAGTGGATAGCACTCTTGCCTCTCAGCAAGAAGATCCTGGGTTCGAATCCCGGTCAAAACAGGGCCTTTCTGAGTGGAGTTTGCATGTCTCCCTGTGTCTGCGTAGGTTTCCTCCGGGTGCTCCGGTTGCCCCTACCACTAAAAACATGCACAATAGGTATGAATGTAAATGAGAGAGTGAAGAGAGTAAATGAGAGTGAATGGATGGTGTTGATTGGAGCTGATGCTCCAGTGTGTTCGGTGACTCACTTCTGTCATCTCCGTGTGTGGAATGATTGGAACAAAATATGAACTCTGAACATTGTAAAGCGCTTTGGGTGACCTTGGTCCGTAAAATGCGATATATAAATAAAACCTTACTTAACTTACTTGCAACCATATGCAAACACATGTACAGTCACACACAGATATACACTAAATTAAACACAACTTTTTTGAGGGGTTAAAATGAACCTAACTAATGAAAGGAACTTGCTCTGGAACTGTATTGCACCAGTATGTAGTGCAGCCGTGTGTAGTGTGATGTCATGTTGCTGTTGACGCTGCAGGATTAGCGCCTCCTGAGCCGTGGTCCCGGAGCCTGAGTAGCGTAGCATGTAGCATGTAGCTATTGTTTCACTCCTGCGCAGATGTGGCCACAGCTGGTCCCAAAGCTGGAGGAGGCCGAGCTCACCCTGCCCTTCGACCGCGGAGAATCTTAACTTTGTCCTCCCATCTTTTATAGAAAATACATTGTTGAACACGGCACATGCAGTTGGAGACGAGAGTGAAATTATGAGAGAGTGAAACTTACTTAAATCTAAACCTTTTTTATACGTTTGACAAATATACTTTTTTACATAGATGATCATTTATATATTTTACGTGCAATTCTCAAAACTGTTTTTTTTTCAAGAGATTAATAACTTTTTTGCAATCAAATGCAGTCACTCACAATGATGTGACTTTCCTTCTTCTTTCTGGACATTTCTAAATCTTTTTATTTAGGCGTAATAGTTTTTTTAACAAGAGGGAGGTCAGGTTTTCTATGCTTCCCTGCTCTTTCAGCTCTGCCACAAATGTCCAGTCAGGTTGAGGTCAAGACACTTTGACTTTGTTTCAGTGCGAGTTTGGAAATGTGGACTCCGTTGTATCAGTTTTGTCAGAAGCTTACTGAAGTTTCACAGGCGATTCTACTCATGTAAGCTTCTAGTTTTTCAGATAAACTGTTATTTTGACATTTCACATTATGAAAATAAGACTTTATTTGGATTAAATATCAGCAAAGGTGAAGACGTCTTTAACTTAAAAAGGACGATGAGTTGAAACCTGCAGTTTGACAGCGAGCAGGGAAAAGCATGAGTCAGCTGTTCTACAAAGTGTGCGATGTAAGACTGCTTTCTCCAGTGTCTTCATCTCTGCGTCATCCCCACTGCCCCCGGCCGTCACAGAGCTCTGCGTCATCCCCACTGCCCCCGGCCGTCACAGAGCTCTGCCTCCTCACCACTGCCCCCGGCCGTCACAGAGCTCTGCCTCCTCACCACTGCCCCCGGCCGTCACAGAGCTCTGCCTCCTCACCACTGCCCCGGGCCGTCACAGAGCTCTGCCTCCTCACCACTGCCCCCGGCCGTCACAGAGCTCTGCCTCCTCACCACTGCCCCCGGCCGTCACAGAGCTCTGCCTCCTCACCACTGCCCCCGGCCGTCACAGAGCTCTGCCTCCTCACCACTGCCCCGGGCCGTCACAGAGCTCTGCCTCCTCACCACTGCCCCCGGCCGTCACAGAGCTCTGCCTCCTCACCACTGCCCCCGGCCGTCACAGAGCTCTGCCTCCTCACCACTGCCCTCTGCCTCATCACCACTGCCCCGGCCGTCATAGAGCTCTGCCGTCACAAAGCAGATAGCACCGATAACCTCGACAGATGGATTTCGTTTGCTTCTTTGCTCACGGTTACAAAGGCATTGTTGCTGCGCAGTGTCACCACTAACTTCAGTGTTCATAATCTCTCTTTAGCATGAGATTTGCATGTTATCGTACAAAAGTGTTGAAGAGTTGAAACGAGCTGAAAAACTGGCAGAAGAATAAACTTTACGAGAACAAATAGAAAATTTACAGGAAAACGTTTGTAAAGTCATTGTCCTTAGACCGTCCTGCATCGATAAGGAAGGACACAAAAACCCAATGGGGAGATACCTCAGCACGGTCAACCATGACAGAGGGATTTGCTGCTTGCTCTCCGTGTCTAGTCTTTGTGGGTCTTTTGGGCGCGGCCTGGACCGTCAGACTTCTCTTCCCCACCCCTGCCTTTTGTTCCCAAAACACAGGCACATCAGGGCCAGCAGAGGGGTGGGACTGCCGGTAGGCGTAGTGTTCAAGCAATAATAACAAACACACAGCAAGCCTATAACCTAATAAAAACATATAAACCAACACCCCCCCTTTCGAATTAGCAGGCCTACTTACTAATCTGGAGGCTTATCTACAGTTATAAATCTGTCACTGCTAGTGAGCTATAGAATCAGGCCTGAGGCTGTAGACCCAGGACTGAGGCTGTAGACCCAGGACTGAAGATTCGTCACTTGTCTCGATTAGGACAGTCCTAGCGGAAAGTGACGATCTGTTTGAGTCTTCAAAGGGCTGAGTTGACAAGATTTGGGATTAGCTTTAACCACATTTCAAAGAGCATTTGACTCTCCACAACCCTCTGCCGTTTCAACAGCACTTAATAGGTTTAATTTGGTTTCCTGCAGCACACGGAGAAAAACATTCTCATGTGTTAGACCTTCAAATAAATAACATAAGACGTATGTTATGAATGTTACCCTTGCTGTCTTCTTGTGTCAAACATTATCAAACAAAGCACTCGTTTGTATTAAACCGTTTTAATACACTTTCTGGACTCTCAAAGGCATCATTAATTCCCAAAACACAGTGATGGCGCAGCGGTTGGAGCTTGTGTTCCACCGCAAGAAGGTCCTGGGTTCAATTCCACCTCCAGACCTTTCTGTGTGGAGTTTGCAAGTTCTCCGTGTCTGTGTAGGTGACCTTGGTCTGTAAAATGTGCTACATAGTGACTTACTTACTATTACTGTAGCCACATTTGCATTGGGAGACTGATAGAGACCAGAGAGACCAGAGAGACCAGAGAGACCAGAGAGACCAGAGAGACCAGAGAGACCAGAGAGACCAGAGAGACCAGAGAGACCAGAGAGACCAGAGAGACCAGAGAGACCAGAGAGACCAGAGAGACCAGAGAGACCAGAGAGACCAGGTCCTGGAGCAGAGTGGTGATGGTTAATGTCAATGTTACTGTATTGTATTCTGTGTCTGTATTTTCACTGTAGCAGCCTGTGAGTCCAAGACATTTTTCCTCCGGGACAAAATACATTCATCTTTAATCACTTTCTATATATAGTCTTTTCTAACTATAGCTATGTATTATACATACAAATGAACATGGCATGATTTGTATAAATAGGGTGTAATGTTGTGTTACATTGGGGACCACCTACGACAGAGCAGCGGCTTCTGAGGCATTGCACAGTGTGTGGGATCACATTGTGCGACCAGAGGGGGAACTTATTTTTAGCCATCTCTTTTCTTGGATTTAGCCGAGGCATCGGTGCACGACGACTGTGTTCCCTTTTCCTCAGCAGCCTCTTATCTCTGAGGCCGTTATGGCTTTGTGTACGTGTGTTCGGATTCAGACGCTGTTTATTTGCCATTTACATTAAAATCTTGACAAGTGCATAAATAAAACAAGCTATAAGTACACTTTAGTTTACTCTGGTCATTTCCATCTGCGTGTTGTAACTCTATCACGTCTGCTTGTTGTAACTCTATGACGTCTGCTTGTTGTAACTCTATGACGTCTGCTTGTTGTGACTCTATGACGTCAGCTTGTTGTAACTCTATGACGTCTGCTTGTTGTGACTCTATGATGTCAGCTTGTTGTGACTCTATGACGTCTACTTGTTGTGACTCTATGACGTCTGCTTGTTGTGACTCTATGATGTCAGCTTGTTGTAACTCTATGACGTCTGCTTGTTGTGACTCTATGATGTCAGCTTGTTGTGACTCTATGACGTCTGCTTGTTGTGACTCTATGACGTCTGCTTGTTGTGACTCTATGATGTTTGCTTGTTGTAACTCTATGACGTCTGCTTGTTTTGACTCTATGACGTCTGCTTGTTGTGACTATGACGTCTGCTTGTTGTGACTCTATGACGTCTGCTTGTTGTGACTCTATGACGTCTGCTTGTTGTGACTCTATGACGTCTGATTGTTGTGACTCTATGATGTCTGCTTGTTGTGACTATGATGTCTGCTTGTTGTGACTCTATGATGTCTGCTTATGACTCTATGTCTGCTTGTTGTAACTCTATGACGTCTGATTGTTGTGACTCTATGATGTCTGCTTGTTGTGACTCTATGATGTCTGCTTGTTGTGACTCTATGATGTGTGCTTGTTGTGACTGACGTCTGATTGTTGTGACTCTATGTCTGCTTGTTGTGACTATGATGTCTGCTTATGACTCTATGTCTGCTTGTTGTAACTCTATGACGTCTGATTGTTGTGACTATGTTTGCTTGTTGTGACTATGATGTCTGCTTGTTGTGACTCTGACGTCTGCTTGTTGTGACTCTATGATGTGTGCTTGTTGTGACTGACGTCTGATTGTTGTGACTCTATGATGTCTGCTTGTTGTGACTATGATGTCTGCTTATGACTCTATGTCTGCTTGTTGTAACTCTATGACGTCTGATTGTTGTGACTATGATGTCTGCTTGTTGTGACTATGATGTCTGCTTGTTGTGACTCTATGATGTCTGCTTGTTGTGACTCTATGATGTCTGCTTGTTGTGACTCTATGACGTCTGCTTGTTTTGACTCTATGACGTCTGCTTGTTGTGACTATGACGTCTGCTTGTTGTGACTCTATGACGTCTGCTTGTTGTGACTCTATGACGTCTGCTTGTTGTGACTCTATGACGTCTGATTGTTGTGACTCTATGATGTCTGCTTGTTGTGACTATGATGTCTGCTTGTTGTGACTCTATGATGTCTGCTTATGACTATGTCTGCTTGTTGTAACTCTATGACGTCTGATTGTTGTGACTATGTTTGCTTGTTGTGACTATGATGTCTGCTTGTTGTGACTCTATGATGTCTGCTTGTTGTGACTCTATGATGTCTGCTTGTTGTGACTCTATGATGTGTGCTTGTTGTGACTGACGTCTGATTGTTGTGACTCTATGATGTCTGCTTGTTGTGACTATGTCTGCTTATGACTCTATGTCTGCTTGTTGTAACTCTATGACGTCTGATTGTTGTGACTATGATGTCTGCTTGTTGTGACTATGATGTCTGCTTGTTGTGACTCTATGATGTCTGCTTGTTGTGACTCTATGATGTCTGCTTGTTGTGACTCTATGACGTCTGCTTGTTTTGACTCTATGACGTCTGCTTGTTGTGACTATGACGTCTGCTTGTTGTAACTCTATGACGTCTGATTGTTGTGACTATGATGTCTGCTTGTTGTGACTATGATGTCTGCTTGTTGTGACTCTATGATGTCTGCTTGTTGTGACTCTATGACGTCTGCTTGTTGTGACTCTATGACGTCTGCTTGTTGTGACTCTGATGTCTGCTTGTTGTGACTCTATGAAGTCTGCTTGTTGTGACTCTATGACGTCTGCTTGTTGTGACTCTATGACGTCTGCTTGTTGTGACTCTGACGTCTGATTGTTGTGACTCTATGACGTCTGCTTATTGTGACTCTATGACGTCGGCTTGTTGTGACTATGACGTCTGCTTATGACTCTATGTCTGCTTGTTGTAACTCTATGACGTCTGCTTGTTGTGACTCTATGATGTCTGCTTGTTGTGACTCTATGACGTCTGATTGTTGTGACTCTATGATGTCTGCTTGTTGTGACTCTATGATGTCTGCTTGTTGTGACTATGAGGTCTGCTTGTTGTGACTCTGACGTCTGCTTATTGTGACTATGACGTCTGCTTGTTGTGACTCTATGATGTCTGCTTGTTGTGACTCTATGACGTCTGATTGTTGTGACTCTATGATGTCTGCTTGTTGTAACTATGACGTCTGCTTGGTGTGACTGTGACTCTATGACGTCTGCTTGTTTTGACTCTATGACGTCTGCTTGTTTTGACTCTATGACGTCTGCTTGTTGTGACTATGACGTCTGCTTGTTGTGACTCTATGATGTTTGCTTGTTGTAACTCTATGACGTCTGCTTGTTTTGACTCTATGACGTCTGCTTGTTGTGACTATGACGTCTGCTTGTTGTGACTCTATGACGTCTGCTTGTTGTGACTCTATGACGTCTGCTTGTTGTGACTATGACGTCTGCTTGTTGTGACTCTATGATGTCTGCTTGTTGTGACTCTATGATGTCTGCTTGTTGTGACTATGATGTCTGCTTGTTGTGACTCTATGATGTCAGCTTGTTGTGACTATGACGTCTGCTTGTTGTGACTCTATGATGTCTGCTTGTTGTGACTCTATGACGTCTGATTGTTGTGACTCTATGATGTCTGCTTGTTGTAACTATGACGTCTGCTTGGTGTGACTGTGACTCTATGACGTCTGCTTGTTTTGACTCTATGACGTCTGCTTGTTTTGACTCTATGACGTCTGCTTGTTGTGACTATGACGTCTGCTTGTTGTGACTATGACGTCTGCTTGTTGTGACTCTATGACGTCTGCTTGTTGTGACTATGACGTCTGCTTGTTGTGACTCTATGATGTCTGCTTGTTGTGACTCTATGATGTCTGCTTGTTGTGACTATGACGTCTGCTTGTTGTGACTCTATGATGTCTGCTTGTTGTGACTATGACGTCTGCTTGTTGTGACTCTATGATGTCTGCTTGTTGTGACTCTATGATGTCTGCTTGTTGTGACTATGATGTCTGCTTGTTGTGACTCTATGATGTCAGCTTGTTGTGACTCTATGAAGTCTGCTTGTTGTGACTCTATGACGTCTGCTTGTTGTGACTCTATGATGTCAGCTTGTTGTGACTCTATGAAGTCTGCTTGTTGTGACTCTATGACGTCTGCTTGTTGTAACTCTATGACGTCTGCTTGTTTTGACTCTATGACGTCTGCTTGTTGTGACTATGACGTCTGCTTGTTGTGACTCTATGACGTCTGCTTGTTTTGACTCTATGACGTCTGCTTGTTGTGACTATGACGTCTGCTTGTTGTGACTATGACGTCTGCTTGTTGTGACTCTATGATGTCTGCTTGTTGTGACTCTGATGTCTGCTTGTTGTGACTATGATGTCTGCTTGTTGTGACTCTATGATGTCTGCTTGTTGTGACTCTATGACGTCTGCTTGTTGTGACTCTATGATGTCAGCTTGTTGTGACTCTATGATTTCAGCTTGTTGTGACTCTATGAAGTCTGCTTGTTGTGACTCTATGACGTCTGCTTGTTTTGACTCTATGACGTCTGCTTGTTGTGACTATGACGTCTGCTTGTTGTGACTTTATGACGTCTGCTTGTTGTGACTCTATGACGTCTGCTTGTTGTGACTCTATGACGTCTGCTTGTTGTGACTCTATGACGTCTGCTTGTTGTGACTCTATGATGTCTGCTTGTTGTGACTCTATGATGTCTGCTTGTTGTGACTATATGATGTCTGCTTGTTGTGACTCTATGATGTCTGCTTGTTGTGACTCTATGGTGTCTTGTCTGTAATAAGGTCCTTCCCTCCTCAGTGTTGGCTTCAGTTCATGTACAGACCATAATAAATGTCACAGAGAAAAGGGTTGTATTTTCCTCCATGTTTGTAATCTTTTTGAATGATATGAGGAACATAAATCGCAATATATCTCAGATTCGAATTCCAATACTGTCTGTATCGCAATATTTTAAGAAACGCAGAAATATTGAATTGGGGCCCAAATATTGCAATACTATTGAATCGTCACATTTTTGCCAGTTCCCAGCCCCAATAACAGTTATAGTTACAGTTAATAACACTCTCAAACTTTCTGCTGATTTGGATCTTCTACACCCGCAACATTAATCATAATCTTTGTAGAATTTGAACTAAACAAGTGTCATATCAATATCATGGCTAAAAGTCTTTTCAACTAACTAAACTTCCATTGCCATACCTTCAAACATCACCTTTTTACTCCAAGGAAAGGTTTTATGTGAACAATGTAGATGGATGGAGAATATTGATCCCCGTTGGAGAAATTCCGGTGTCCAGCAGCAGAAACCATATCCATCCAAACAAACACATTATTACATGACTCTAAAGGTTACTTACAATTGTAATAAAGTGCAGGACAGGTCCCAGCGGCTGAGATGGTGCAGCCGCTGGTGCTGAGCTGCTTCTGGTCGATGTTTGCAGAGTCTTCTTGGTTGAGACCATTTTCTCTGTTCTGGTTCAGAGTGAAATTCAGAGGGAAACATAGCATTCCTCCAGTGGATTTCAGATTGATCTGCTTGTTTGGGACCATCCTCTCTGCTCTGGTCTGGATCACTGTAAAATCAGTTGGGAGAGCCACTGGCCTTTGAGCCTGAAGGTCGTGGGTTCGAGCCCACCACAATACTTTCTCCACCCACTCCCACTGATGTCTGCTGTCGTTTTGTCCTTGGGCAAGACATTTAACCTCTGGGAACACAAACCAAAGTGAGGGGCTGCGGCTGTAAAGTGTCAAACTGCCGTTGTGTCCTTGGGCAAGACACTTCACCCCCATTGCCTACATTGAGTCCGGTGTGTGTGTGAATGGTTGGTGGTGGTCGGAGTGGCCGATGGTACATACTGGTTGCCTCGTTTCTGTCAGTGTGCCTCAGGGCAGCTGTGGCTATAGTAGAAGTTTATCACGAACATGTATGAAGAGTGAATGAATAATGACATGTTGTGTCTTTGAGTGTCCAAAAAAGCGCTAAATAAAACTGAGGCATTTTTATTATTATTATTTACCGCAGTAACAAAAAGCAAGAAGCATGTTTCAGAGCTACTTAAGACTTGCTGTCGTTTCCAGCCTATTCAAAAGAGATTCTGCAGTACAATTAACGTGGGTCTGAGGGAGGGGGAGGCTCTGGTTTATATGTCCAAATTGAATATTATCAAGATTGACTCAAACATGACCAGGACGTGCTGTTCATAATGAGGTGAAGAAGAGTAAGTATCTCTCTGTTGCTTTGGTATCTTTTGCTTGATACCAAAGCTCAGAGTAAGCATCTCTTGCTTTGGTATCATTCTGTGTGGAGTGCGGTGACTCATGTGTTCTTGTGGTTGTTGTGTGCAGGCTGCCAGCGCGTCTCTGTGGAACATGCTGGGTTCAGAGCGTGGCGTGGTGGAAGAATGGCTCTTAGAATTCAAGGTAAAAACATCTGACTCACTCAATCCAAAACACAAGAGCCACGTCCAAGGCCTGATGGGAAAAGGACGAGCTAAATACACTCCATGTAGTAGTCTCTCCTCAGGCACATGTATTTGTATTTACAATGTGTCGGCTCGAAATGGGAGAGAGAGAGACCAGAGAGAGAGAGACACTCTCCAGAGAGAGAGATCAGAGAGAGAGACCAGAGAGAAGAAGCCTGTCTCACATTTTCAGGAAGACTGTTCCAGATTATAGATGCATGAATCTGAAACACTGCCTCCCCATGTTTAGTTCTTACTCTGGACACCAGCAGGAGGCCAATTCACATTATGCCAAAATTAATTGAACTGAACTGATAAATAACAATATTATTATTATTTAGTATTATATGAAACAATGAAATATGAAATAGGATAATTAAGGTTAAGTATTCTGCACTTAAGTTCTCTTAAGACTTAAGAGAACTTAAGTAAAGAGTTGAGTACAAAAGTATGTGTATGAGCTCACAGGTCTGTCCAAACAGGCGGTAAAACAGCTGCAGTACATTCAAAATGCTGCAGCTCGAGTCCTGACTAGAACCAGGAAGTACTGTACGACCACATTAGTCCGGTCCTCAGGTCCCTGCACTGGCTTCCTGTGGCTCAGAGAATAGATTTTAAAACAGCTCTGCTTGTGTACAAGTCTCTCCATGGCCTCGCACCAAAATATATTAGTGACATGTTAGTCCCATATGAACCAGCCCGGACTCTGAGGAGCACAGGGACTGGACTCCTGTTAGTGCCCAGAGTCAGAACTAAACATGGGGAGGCTGCTTTTCAGATTCATGCTGCTAAAATCTGGAAGAATCTTCCTGAAGATGTGAGACAGGCCTCCTCTCTGACAATGTTTAAAACCAGGTTAAAAACAGTCCTGTTTAGCTGTGCATACAACTGAGGGATTTATATTTTATCTTCTTTTATCTTCTTAATGTACTGTGATTATTTATGACACTTTGAATTGCCTTGTGTATGAATTGTGCTATATAAATAAACTAAACTTGCCTTGCCTTGCCTATGAGAAATCAGCTCACTCCACTGTCCACCAAGGGTTCTCCTCATTTCACTTGGATAAAAAAACCTCAGTTAACAGCCAAAAACCTGACTGCACATGTTTGTTGCCCTACTTGACTCTGGTCTGGTGTGTGTCTGTGTGTGTGTGCCTGCCTCAATGTGTGTGCGTGTGTCTGCTTGTGTGTGTGTTTTCAGTCCCTTCCAGAGACTCAGATCTCCAGTTACGCAGGCAGCCTCCATCAGAAGAAGAGCCTGGTCCCAGCGCTCTACAGAGTCATCCAGGATCCAAACAACGAGGTCAACACACACACACACTTTCAGACACACACACATACAGGTGCTCGGACACAAGTACACATAATACAGGCGCATACACACACACATGGATACAAGTGGACATACACAAACACACGTGTGCTCAAGCATGCACGCTGTTCTAAGTCCTCCTGGATCCCCTCCACCTCCTCACTTTCTCTGTGTGTGTGTCCTCGTGTGTGTGTCCTTGTATGTGTGTCCCTGTGTGTGTGTTCCTTTGTGTGTCCCTGTGTGTGTGTGTGTGTGTGTGTGTGTGCGTGTGTGTGTGTGCAGCTGCTGGAGCCCGTGTGCCACCAGCTGTTCGACCTGTACCGCAGCTCGGAGCAGCGCCTGCGGCGCTTCACGCTGCAGTTTCTGCCAGAGCTGCTGTGGGTGTACCTGCGGCTCACGGCCAGCAGGGACCGCCAGAGCAACGGCTGCATCGAGGCGCTGCTTCTGGGCATCTACAACCTGGTGAGTCCAACATGGACTTGGTTCTGTTTGTGTGACGACTGTTCTGTTAATCATCATGGTTATCTGCAGAGAATGGTTAAATGTGATATTGGCATATCTGTGCAAGATTCATGGGACTGAGTCAAACCAAATGAACAAACAGGCTGCGGGTGCTGTGAGCAGGGGCAGGGCTCAGGGTGGGCACAGGCCTGGGGCCCCATGGGGGACCCCTGACACAGAGTGGGGTATCAGGATAATAGATGAATATGAACACTGTACCATGAGTGTCATTATTAACATATAAAATATCAACAGGGAGCGTGTGTGTGAATGATCAGCAGATGCTCTGCACCAGATTGTGGCCTCGGGCTCATTTCCATCCGTTGTGCCAGAGTCGCACTCATAAACACACTCATTCATGAACTATTGTACAGAATGTAGGGAAAACACACAGGGAGAACATGCAAACTGAACACAGAAAGGCTCTCAGGAGGTGGAATTGAACCCAGAAACTTGAGCGTTAACCACTGTGCCACTGTCATGAATCATCTTGTGTGACTGTTGTGATGAAACAGGTGGGCTGTTTTAAATCAACAAACACATATTTTACCTTTATCTCCTTAGCCCTGGCTTTTTGGGGATAAAGACAGAAACAAATATGCATTTAAATATTGATATATTATTAAATATTTTCATCACCAAATGAAAGACGAGAATTGTGTGGTCAATAGTTTTCAGCCATTGCTTCATAATTTTACATTTCCGTACATTTTAGAATTCCATGTCAGTTGGAGAAGATAACTCTCTGAGAAAAAAGCCTTTTTTGAAGTAAATTTTGACACGTCCTAATTGAAAAGTCCTTTTTCGAAATGTCCTAAGCAGTACAGGGCTTGGTTAGTGCTGTGATGGGAGACCTCTGGGAACACCAGCTGCTACAGAGGGGCGGCTGCAGCTGTAAAGTGCCAAACTGTGGTTTTGTCCTCAGGCAAGACACTTCACCCACATTGTCAAGAATGAGTCTGATGCCACAGACTGGTTGCCTCTCTTCTGTTAGTTTCCCCCAGGGCAGCTGTGGCTACAGAAGTAGTTTATCACCCCCGTGTTTGGAGTTAAAGAATAATAACATGTGAAGCGTCTTTGAGTGTCCAAAAAGTTTTATTACTGATGCACTATATAAGATCCTATGCGTTCAAATGTTCAAAAGCCAAAACCGCACATTTCTGCATGTGCTGTTTGAATGAGACAGTGTGTATAGCAGCTTAGCCATGCATCCAGCTGATTGGAGTCACACACAGTAATCAAGAAGTGCATTGAAAGAGCAGCAGTAATCCTCTGCTCCGTCTGCCTGAGACCGGATTGAAGCGCACACAGTTCACACGTGATCGAGCACAAAAAGAGGACGGTGTATTTATGTGTTTGTGTGTTTGTTTGCAGGAAATCGTGGACAAAGATGGCAACAGCCGGCTCCTGTCGTTCACCATCCCCTCCCTGTCCAAGCCCTCCATGTACCATGAGGTAAACACTAAACGCCTGCTTCAATCCTTCTTCAGTCCTGCCTCTGTCCTGCCTCGGTCCTGCCTCGGTCCTGTTTCGGTCCTGCTTCGGTCCTACTTCGGTCCTGCTTCGGTCCTGCTTCAGTCCTGCTTCAGTCCTGCCTCAGTCCTGCCTCAGTCCTGCCTCAGTCCTGCCCAGTGGGGGAGGGTCCCAGCTCAAAAGTGGCCTAAATGACGTGCGCTGACATGCTGCAATACCACCCCGGGCCGATGGGGGTGGACCCAGAAGTAGAATTAGCCAATGCTAACATATAGCATTGGCAGACCTCTCAAAAACGTCTTTACAGGATGGACCAAAAGTTGGCTCTTGGCCCAAAGCTCCGTTCCACATGTGTGTCAATGCTGAGGGGGGTGGATTTTTTTGGTCCACTCTAGTTTACTCACTGTGAATTTTTGAAGTCTCTCGTTCAAATGAATGGAGTTGCGCCGGCTGACGCATGCGCAGATGCGTTTTTTCACAATTTTCTTGTGGGCGGGACCACTCGCGGCCCTTTTGGATTGCTCCAGTAGAGCACATTTTTTGGCCCATTATTTAGAACGGCCGAGATAGGCGTGACTCTGTCCGTAAATATATACAGTCTATGGTCCTGCCTCAGTCCTGCCTCAGTCCTCCTTTAGTCCTGCTTTAGTCCTGCTTCAGTCCTGTTTATTTGTCCCACAGTGGGGAAATTTCAATGTTGCAGCGCACATACAGGACACTAATAAGAGCACACGGGGAGCACACAAAGTATACAAAATAAAAGTAGCTCTTAACTAGCTGCAAATGCTTCAATATCAATCTTTCAAAATATCTATAAAACACTTGATCTAAATACAAATACAAAAAAAAAAATCTATACACTATTACTAAAAATAACATAAATAATGCTTCTTTTAATGGCAAGTTTTTTGCTTTAATTTAGTTTGTTATATAAGAATATTTTACTAGTCTTAAAATGATGAAAAAATATGTTTTCTTATTTCCTGACAACTTTTCTTGTTTCAATAAAATAAGTATGTTATGCTATATTTTAAGAAAACATTTCTTATGAATGAGTATAGAATAAGTAAATAATAATGTATGTTGTTATACCAGAATCAAGTCATTTGGGGCTAGTATGATTTCCTTTATTTCAGAAACTTGTCATTGTTCTTATTTTAAATAGTATTTTACTTATTTTCATACGTTTTTTTCTTATTTTTACAAGGGATTTTTTCCAGTGTACGTATATAATAAAGACATATACATACTGTACATACATACATACATACAGTACATGTATGCTCTGTAAAGCCCAAATAAATTATACTAATAAATTGTATAGACCTTTCAAATGAAGTGATAATTGGGGAACTCAGTGGTGTTTGTCTTTGGTTTGCGTGTGCAGCCGTCCAGCCTGGGCTCTATGGCGCTGACAGAGGGGGCGCTGTGTCAACACGACCTGATCCGTGTGGTCTACAGCGGGATGCACCCCCAGAGAGAGACCTTCACCGCTCAGAACAGGTGAGACACACACAACAGTACAGCTCTGACTGCAGACGCTGCTCCCTCTTCACCACAACAGTCTGATACAGCGACCGTATGTCGTTCGCACGCTGTAGCCTCCACTCATGAACCAGACCGAGATACTTGAACATGTACCCACTGTACGTGTACAGGCCACTCTCTCCTCTGGGTCATGTGATGAAGCACACAAACCCTCTGCATGTGGTGGACAATATATTTAGTCAGCTGTAGTTGCTTTGTATCCTTAGTTTAATTGCTAATTTTTGGGGAAATACTCTGTGAATGTGTGTAGTGACAGTCACAGGCTCTCATCCAGCTGCTGACCCCACTGACCACAGCGAAGGTTGAAGTCTTTAGTCCACTTGAAACAGCTTGAAACAATACATGATGCTCAGACCATCGAAATTCCACTTCTCGGTCTTGTCCGGTCCACATTCATCTGACTCTACTGTGTTGCTTCCTGTTTCCTGTTTACAGCTCGCGGCCTATTATTTGGGATTCATAGGCCCAGTCCCAATACTCGCACTTCCACCCTCGCGTCCCTCATTTGCGCATTCCCGATGATGGGTGCAAGTGCGTAGGGTGTCCCAATTCTCCAGGGAGGTCTTTGGCCCCGCCCCCTTTGTGCCCCTGATCCACACTTCGCTGTAGCCTGTATCTATGCACACTCTGGCGAAGGATATTGCCCATAATTCTTTGCGGTACACACCAAAACGTTGGGAAAATGCATTTAAGTGTAAGTTTTGAAATATATACTGTATGTGTGTAAATAAATGTTGCTATGTTACTTGGATAGAAGCATAAATGACTGATTGAAGAATTACGGACATTCAATGCAAACAATTTCATAACTTTTTTAATCGAAGCTTTCTTATAACATTCAATTTAAACTTTACACTTCTACAATAAACTTAGGATGTATAAAAACATACCAGATAACAGTTAGTTACCCACCATTAACTTAAAATTATACAGCTATCTCAAATTACGAATAACCAATATACATTTATTTTAACCTGTGTGGAGCAACTGATTTTGTTTCCCACAGGGTCAGACAAAATTACCTTTAATGTTCATAAAGTTTAGGTCTGAAAATGACCATCTCTTGACGAGTCGATGACGTAACCTGCATTCAGTGTGCACTGTTCCAATTACGCCTTTTTGCACGCTAGTAACCTGCGCACTTCAACCCTTGTGTGCACTTCAGACAAATGCACACTTCATAGACGAGTTTAGGGTGCAGTGTGGGTATTGGGATTGGGCCATAGAATTGTTCCATTTCGTCCCTTCTGACCACTAGAGGGCGGTGTATAGTCCTGAATGACCGAAAACCAGTGAAGTGAACTCTGAGGTCTGACCATGGATCTATTATAATAACTGGATAGAGTATTACAGCTTGGAGCTGAAGAACCACGTGCTCGGGGGATTCTCGCAGTACTGCAAACTGAACCAGACTATATTCACATGGGCTACCCAGACATTTTCCCCATAGAACTCAATGTAAACTAAAACAGCTGGACCTCAGCTGACAGAGAACCTACAGCTTTCATAAAGGTCGGATTTTGTGGGGATTTTAGTGTCCCTTGTCATCCTGAACTTTTTTTCTTCTTAAATCCTTCGGTTTTGTTTAAATCCACACTTTAGTGCCACAAACTCTGTTCGTCTGGCTCCCGCTCTAACTCCCGCTCTGATGAACTGCTATGATTGGTCAGAGCGCGGCCGAGCCCCTCTGTGCACGTGCATGAGAGCCACACACGCTTTTTTGCTCGAACGCATCATGGGAGATCATCCACTGCGCAGAACCGGGAGGACAAGACGATGCCCAAATACAGGCGAGTTTCCCATGGATCTTTGCGAGTTCCAGGCAGAGTTCCGCTGCCTGGAACTAAGAGCACAAACCATTGATTTGAATACGGCACCATCTTGGATCGCCGGGGCTTGGGTCTGACTTGGAGGAAACTTGCAGCTGGAGCTGTTACAATAACACATATTCGATGATGATTAACTTTACATTTTGAAATTGCCATTTTGAGGCATTGCCACAAACGGACGCGACACAACGCATGATCCGGTGTAAAAGCACCATAACACTCTCGGAGTAACATTCAGAGTAACACTCCGACTGTTTTTTGGACAATGCTGTTGTTTGGAATTGTGGAGAGTAACACTCAGACAATGACGTGCCCAGCTTTGAGAAAGTGTGTTTGTTTCCCCAGGTTTGAAGTGCTTTGCTTCCTGATGCTGTGCTATAACTCTGCCGTGGTCTACATGCCTCTGTCCTCTTACCAGTCCGTCTGCAGAATGAGCTCACGGTGAGTACACACTGTTAAAAGATACAACACTTATGTTGTGTTAGTGTCATTAAATCTGAACAACCTGTTAAAACAAAGGAGAGGACAGAGACAAAATCCACATTATACAAACTGTAGGAACCAAACTTGTGGTCATCACATTAACCACTGTATTTTTGAGACTTCATCTTTTGTATACTTTGACTTTAGATCAGAGTCTTGTTGATTGATTCTCAGGTGTGTGTGTGTCTGTGTGTGTGTTTGTGTTGCAGGCTGTGTGTGTGCGGCTTCCCTCGGCAGCAGCAGAAGCTCTGGAGAGAACCGTGTAACCGTGTGCTGCTGGACCCAGAGTTCATGGTGCAGATGCTCACCGCCGTTTACCACGCCATGTATGTACGCACACACAAACACATACACACACGTGCACACACACTGTTTTAGAACACACAAGGACAAATCCACAGCGGGTTGTTGTCACGCAGCGCGCTCACAGAAAAGCTGACAAGAAAGATGAAAAACCAATCACAGTCATTGTTGCAACAAGTAATATTAATGGTTAAATATGAAGAATATTTAGCAAAATGCAGCATTACACTGGCAGCCGCTCGATTCATCATGCATCACATGTTAAACTTGTTTGTTTTGTGAATGAGAGGCTGCCTAACATCCATTATTTTGTGTGTCTGTCTGTGTTTGTGTGCGTGTTTGTGTGTGCTTTTGTGTGTGATGCAGATATAATGGTGAGTGGGAGCTGGGACGGGAGGCACTGGAAGACGTCCTGTACAGGGCTCAGCTGGAGCTCTACTCACAGCCACTGCTGGTGAGAACATAGACACGCATACACACACTGTATACACTATAGAAAACCATTTTATGACCTACGATGATTTAGAAGATCATACATGAATCAAAAATAACATGGTTTTAAACAGGTGCAAAGTGAAAAGTTGAGTTGAGTCCTGGATCTACAGCCCGTCCGTCTGTGGGAGCGGATCCCTCCGTCACTGTGGGCCTCCCCGAGGTTTCTCATTTTCTCCCTCTGGGTTTTAAGAGTTGTTCCTTGCCGATGCAGCAAGGTCTAAGGACAGTTGTGATGATCCAGGACACTCCATATTCATAAACTTTTATGGACATTGGTCTCTTCCCCCTTATGGACCAATGGCTCTACGTGTTTTTATCATTGCATTTCTTGTGTTTGAACTGAATCCATGGCTTTATAAAGTCCTCCAAGATAACTACTATTGTGATTTAGGGCTGTACAAATATAAATTGACTTAAATTGAATCAATTGTTGACTTTCTCTAACAAAAGCCCTGTGCCTGTACAGCTGGGGAACGCCATGCAGAACTCTCTCCCGGAGAGCGCACCTGACGACCCGCGAGGACGCAAGGTCCTGCAGGTGGAGGTCACACCCACCATCAGCCGCATCTCCATCTCTGCCATCACCACGGCCTCCATACGGCGCCACCGCTGGAAGAGAGAGGGTACTGCTCCTCCCCACTACACACTCCTGCCGTCAGCACAGCAGGGCCAGCTCCAGGCATTCAGGGGTCCTAAACGTGATCACAGTTTATGGCCCCCACATCAAATACAAAGCCTCTGGCCTCATCTGCATTTACACATTTATTTATTGGGAAATCAGAAAGCGCAATTGAATTAGACATACTATTTTCTCTCATTACTCATTTAAACAGTGGCTTCACAAAGGAAAGGATTTTCTCAAATGAAAACCAATCAAACCAATTAAGGTCTGTCTGTCTATCTATCAAACCTAGTGCTTTCTTAGTCTGAATATTGTCAAAATCTGCTTTTAAAGATTCCCCAGGCAACTTTTCCAGTGGTTTCTGAGAATACTTTTGCTCGGATTGTGGCACAGATAACATGGCTTTAATCAATTGGATACTCTGATTGATCGAGAAATGAATTGACTCAAAAACTCAAAAATCCAAATTTTGCCAATGTCCGCAGCAGCTTTGACAGGCAGGTGATGGTTAATAATCAAGCAAAATCTATTGAAGATTGATTGGATCCATTCCTCCTTTCTTCCCTTTGCCACTGGCTGTCCAACAACCACAAAGCACAACCACATATGGGGGAGTGCTAAGGGATGGCACGCTGAGACGCAGCTAAGGCTAAAACCCCTCTTAAAAGGTTATTTACCCAAATGAAGCTGTAATCCTAACATAACATAAGAAACTGGAATCGTTTGCGCAAGAGACTATTGAAAGTCTGGAGTCGTATATTGACGCATACTACGACCAAATGGCAAAACCCGAGAACAAGCGTGGAAGGAGCGAATTGAGCTCAAGTGGCACAGAGGAGGAGTCTATGCTCACCACAGAAATGCAAAGTATCAAAGACGCTTTAGACGGCGTAAACAGCAAACTTCAAAAGCTGGATATGCTAAACCAACTCTCGGAGGATGTAAAAGACATGAAGCAATCCCTGGAGTTCTATATAGCTATGGTCGACGTCCTCAAACAAGAGAACGCGTCGCTGAGATTAGAGGTTAACAATCTCAAACATCTGACCACTGAACTTCAAGGAAACACTACCAAAATGTCAGAAAGCATTTTGGATTTACAGAGTCGGAGTATGCGAGATAATATAATAATTCATGGTGTGCACGAGACAGTGAAAGAAACTTACCAAGTCACAGAGCAGCTGGTGAAAAAGTTCATGATGGAGCAGCTGAAAATGGAGCAAACAGTGGTGCAGAATATTCTATTTGCCAGAGCGCACCGGATCGGAAAACCAAAAGGAGCGAAGGACAAACCTAGACCCATCGTGGCAAAACTTGCGGTGTCGAAAGATAAATCCACTATTATGGCAAGAGGTCGGGAGCTGAAGAGATCCACTTTCTCCATCACGGACCAGTTCCCCCCGGAGATAATGAAGAGACGAAGACTACTTTATCCAGTCATGTCAGAAGCAAGGAAAAATGACAAAAAGACGCGTCTTATTGTGGACAAGCTCTACATTGATGGAGCTCTATATCGGAAATCTCAGATTACATACTGGTTGACTGGAGGGGATGACGCCGGCAACTAGCAGCATGGATAGAAAACGATGTAAACAACGCGCGATCTGATGACGTCACACACATCTGGTCTCTAGGCAACGAGCCTAACATTAAAATACCTGGCTTTACGTGGCCATTGGGGTGGACATGAGGAGACCCCGGACTCATGGACTGGGCTTAGCTACTTAAAGTGGTAAATTTGAGCATAAAGAAGAAGTGTGAGGGGGACAAGCTGTCTTGGGGGTAAGTTCTTGTGTTGGGATCAAGGTATGGGGAGGGCATACTTACCCTCTACTCTAGGGAAGAGTAAAGGCCAATGGAAGACTGTAGTTTTAGAGAGAGGTGGGGTTGTACTTGGCTGGGGTGTTTTCTGGTTGGTGATGTGCGTTGGTATGTGTGGGGCGAGTATGTGTGTGTGGTTTGTGGGTATGTGTGGAAAGAATTTGTTTTGTTGGGGCACTACATTATATTTATAAAGATTTCACTAGTTAAATGGATAATATAAAAAAAAAGTCTATTGGAATTTCTTCATTTAATTGTAATGGTTTAGCAAATACCTCTAAAAGGAATGAAATTTTTACTCGGTTAAATGATAAAAGTGACATTCAAATTGCTTGTATGCAGGAAACTCACTCTAACTCAGAAAATGAGCTAAAATGGAGATCTGAATGGGGAGGGGATATATATTTTAGTCATGGTTTAAAAAACAGTAGAGGTGTTATGATTTTGATTAAATGTAATGTAGATTATACACTACACTCCGTATCTAAAGATAAGGAAGGTAGATGGATTGTAATAGATATAATGATAAATAACTTGCATATTATTTTAACAAATATTTATGCTCCTAATGAGGACAATCCATTATTCTTTGGTGAAATTAATACATATTTAAGCTCACTACAATCTAATCAAATTATAATAACTGGGGATTTCAATACAGTCTTGGATATAAATAAGGATCGAAGTGGTCTACATAAATTTAATAATCATCCCCATGCACTTAGGGAAATTAAAGAAATGGCTGCAGCATTAGATCTTGTTGATATCTGGCGTCTGTTAAATAAAGATACTAGGTATACATGGCGCAGAGGAAAGCAGGCTAGTAGAATTGATTATTTTCTCATTCCCTTCTCATTGGTTCCTAGAGTATTAAACTGTTGTATTGGTGACTGCTTGAGATCTGACCATAGTCTGGTTACATTGCTGATTGACAATCCGCAATGTTCCAGAGGACGGGGTTACTGGAAATTCAATGTATCGCTTCTAAATGATAATTTGTTCCTCGATATTACCAGGAGATTTATTAAGGAATTTTTTGAACATAATGAAAACTCCTCTAATCCACATAATGTTTGGGAAGCCTTTAAATGTTCCTTTAGAGGACATGCGATTAAGATGGGAGCAATTAAGAAAAAAAGAAACTTAAAACAAGGTCAATTGGAGAGTCTTTATCATGAACGGGCAAACAGAGTTATTTTTAGGTCACATGCTGCTTGGATGGAGAAGGGAGAGAAGTGTACGTCACATTTTTTACGGTTAAACCAAAGAAATTCTGTTAAAAAGAATATCATGAGTTTATATAGAGATAATGTCTTAGTCACAAATTCACAAGAAATATTACAGGAAGAATTTGAATATTTTAAAGCTCTATATTGCAATGATGCAATACTGGAGCCCCTTAGTGATGTGACAGAGCAATATTTTCCTTTAAATAATGTCTCTGTGCTTTCTACTTCCCAGCAATTAAGCTGTGAAGGAGAAATAACAGAACAGGAGTTACTAGAGGCAATTAATTCGTTTTCATCTGGTAAATCTCCTGGTATCGACGGTATTCCTACTGAGATGTATAAGATTTTTTTTACAGAAATTAAAAAACCCCTATTAGCATCTTTCAATTTTTCATTTCAACAGGGTATTTTATCCAATTCACAAAGAGAGGGAGTTATCTCAATACTCTTAAAACAAAATCCTGATGGGGAAATATAAAAGATCCCAAATTGTTAAAAAATTGGCGTACATTGACCCTGCTCTGTTGTGATACTCGTATTTTATCTAAATGTATTGCTTTAAGAATAAAAAACATAATTGGAAGTATTATAAATAACGATCAAGCAGGTTTTATTAAGGGAAGATTTATTGGAGACAACTTGAGACAAATACTTGACACGATATATTTTTATGAGAAACATCAGGAACCAGGATTATTGTTTATTGCTGATTTTGAAAAGGCATTTGACAAAGTTCAATGGAAGTTCATAAGACAATGTCTTGTTTTTTTTTAATTTTGGAAAAAACTTAATCCAGTGGTTTGAAACGCTTTATAATCATCCGATTAGTAGAGTGATTAATAATGGTCATATATCAGATACATTTTCATTAACACAAGGAGTCCGTCAAGGGTGTCCTCTGTCACCATATCTCTTTATTTTATGTATTGAAATTCTAGCTATTAAAATTAGGAACAATCCAGATATACCAGGTCTATTTCCAAACGGCCAAGAGATTAAACTGACAATGTATGCTGATGATGCAACCTTTTTTATAAAACCAATACAATCCACTTTGGAAGGACTAATAAAGGAATTAAATAAGTTTTCAAAAATATCTGGATTGAAACCTAATTTTGCTAAATGTAGTATTTTGAGAATTGGGATGTTAAAAGACACTAATTTCATTTTAAACTGTTCTGCTCTTGTTAAATGGTCTAATGGAGGAGTTGATACTTTGGGGATTCATCTACCTGATGACTTTAAAGAAGTTGTTAAATACAATTATGAGAGAAGGATGGAAAAGGTAGATAAAATTTTACAACCTTGGAGGGGGAACTTTCTGACAATTCAAGGGAAAGTAACGTTGATTAATACATTAGTAATCCCACAATTTGTCCACCTATTAATGCTTCTTCCCTCACCTAGCATTAAGTTCTTCAAGCACTTTGAACAGAAAATTTTCAAATTCATATGGAATAATAAACCAGATAAAATTAAAAGGCAGTATCTATATAATTCCTATGATAATGGCGGACTGAATTTAAAAAATCTTCAAATGATGGACTGTTCCTTGAAGGCCTCCTGGGTTGCTAAAATGTATCATAATGAAAAGTGGATGACGACCCAGAGATTATATTCGGCCTTTTTCTTCTTCTCGAACAATATATTTCCTTTTTACCAATTAAAAACAATACATATTGATAAACTATTTCAAAATAGTTTAAAAGAGTTATCACCATTCTTCAAGGATGCATTAAAAGCTTGGTTGAATTTCCAGTATCATCCTCCAGATACAGCTCAAGATATTCAGACACAGTTGCTATGGATGAATTCAAACATTACTGTTGGAGACAAACCATTGTTGTGGGAGGAATGTGTTAAAAATGGGTTAATTTTTGTCAATGACCTTTTAGATTTATCTGGAGATTTGATTTCTTATGAAAATTTGAAAAGATCTTTTAACATTTCTCTCGATGAGCTACGAGAATACAACCAGCTGATTTCTGCAATTCCTAAAACTTGGAAAAGAAAATTGCAAAATTGTAGGAAGAATAAGTTGATGGTTTGTCTCCCAATAATAAGATGCCCAAAATGGCTGTCTGGTGCCAAAATAAATAAAATAATATATATGTGGAATGTAAATATCACAGGCACCGCACTTTTCCCACACAGAATCTGCCTGTTTTGGGAAGATGAATTCAATGATCCAATTTTGTGGAAAGATTACTTTAGAACAATTTATAGAACTACAATAGATTCATATTCCAGGATATTTCAACTTAAAATCTTTTATAAAATTATTGCAACAAAAAAATCTCTGGTCAAATGGCAGATAGAAAAGGATCCCTGTTGCAGGTTCTGTGGGGATGAGGAGGAGGACCTGATGCATTTGTTTTATTTTTGTCCACATGTGGCTAAGTTTTGGGTCAGTGTACAGTTATGGTTAAGGTCTATGGGTATTGCTTTGCAAATTACACCTCAGAATATTGTGTTATGTATTTTTGAGGGTAAATGCACATACCTTTTGAATATGATTATTCTGATGGGTAAAATGTTTATTTTTAAAGTTAAAAATGTATCAAATTTATGTATAAAACATTTTAAGAATAGAGTTTATCATCAGTATATGTTAGAAACAATTATAGCAACAAATAACAACAGAATAATTGAGCATGAAAAGAAATGGAATGTCTGCTTACCTGAGTTAGAGATATAAATATTAGGGTGTACTTGCTATGCCATTTGTTATGTCGTAAATGTTTTGCTAATTATATTGTATTTTGTTTATGGATTTTGATTGGTATTAGTGATTTTATTTTATTTCTCATTTTCTATGTTATTATTTTCTTTTGCTTTGTGCTTCTTTTTTGTCTATAGTCTGTGTTCAAATACTGAGAATGTGTGGATGATTGTGGTTGTGATTGTGGTATGAATGCAAGGGGGGTGGCTGGGTTTGGGTTTGGGTGGGGGGTTTTGAAGTTTGTCTCGTTATTTTATCTTGTAAATAAAAAGAAGATTCAATCAAAAAAAAAAAAAAAAAAAAAGCACAACCACATACATGATGGATCTAGCCCCATGCAGCTCTAAAAACACGTAGCACCTACACTGTATTCACAAGAGCCTACACTTTAGATCTAATGAGGATTAACCCAAATTAGCCATGAGGACGTGGATAACAAACTCTGCAGATTACTCCAGGGGAATAGTTAAGAGCTTTGCCCCGGGGCCGGCCCTGCTCTACAGTCAAGTATCGGTTTCTTTGTTTCTCTCTGCTCTTCTAAGCTTGTGCCTCTTTCTAAGCAGTCCTGGCCCACATGAAGCAGATCCAGGGTGAGCGACAGTGTGCGTGGCTTTTGTTTCAGCAGTGAGGATAGAGGGAGCTCACCATGAGGAAACATCACGTCCAGTGGTGTCTCTGTCACGTGTCAGTGTGTCCAAATGTGTCTCACTGCTTCTGTCTTGTCTGTGTCCGGTCAAAATGGCGCCGAGGAAGTTTGCTCATGAGGCAAACTGGTGACAAAATGGTGCTGAATTTTAGAGACTTATTTTGAGGTGTGATAGAAACTTGGCCAGATTCCCGCTACGTCAAATGAACTCTTCTCACTCACTGTCAGTACTTCCTGTATTTTAGGAACCACAAAAATCAATCAAAGAACTAATGATAATTTGAGGTTAAGAGGAGCAGTAAGGCTATTGCTACGCCAGTGTCACATTGTTATAAAATAATTCATTAAACCAAATTAGTTTGGAAGGGGGTTACTTAAAATTAAAGGTATTCTTGGGTTTCATTAAACTGGGGGCGAATGAGCAGAGATGGGACAACTCAGTTTTGCTCCCATTGAAAACCATGTAAAGTCTGTTTTGAGTCAAAAGGCTCTCCTCCTGTGCGGTGTACGGTTGTTGTAACAGTCTTAATCGGGGACACTCAATTCTAAGGGAGTACTAAAAAATTACAGCAATAAAGATATTGCTGCGTTTAATTCGGGTGGCCTGCAGGGGGCGCTTATCTGGGAAAGCCTTGATCCACCTCGCCCGCCTCATTTGAGTGATTTTTTTCAAAGTGTACTCCTTTATATGAGACCACAGTTGAAACACGGAAGAAACTCTTGTCTTTCTCTCTATTCATGCGGTTGCTGCAACCGTACACCGCACAAAAAGATGGCATTTTGACAGCGCTTCTTCTTCTTGACGTCGCCCTGACGTCATATGAAACCCAAGAATATAGGACTTTCTACTTCCGGGTAGATCATCAAGACTATTGGTCCTCCCAATCATTCTGGTGATATTTGCTGGTCAAATAAGACCAGAGAGTTTTGTTCAAAAAGTGGAAAGGGCGGTACTTTCCTCAAATTATATATTAAACTTTATTACAGACACGAGGTCCAGATAAGAAAAACAAAAACATTTATAATCATAAAAATAAGCATACATATTTGCAGCAGACTACTGTACCAGTGACGCCACAGTTCAGACCGATAGCGTGTGGCACTGATATATATATATTCACTAAACAACCAGCACTTGACAAACGGGAGTGTATTGACTTTTGAGCTGCGTAGGTGAGGACTCTTTCTTCTGGTGGCCCGGTTGGGATCAGAGACACATGTACAAGTATGTGTTCCTTATGTCCTGAGCTCCAGTCCTGCTCACACTGGACCAAAGTCTTTGTTCTTTTTCATCTACTGATCTCCATTTGTTTGTGCTGATTTTGCTCCGTGAGCTTGAGGCTGTTGCAGACTGTGGCAGATTGACAGAAACAACACTGCTAATCTGAGCCATCGGCAACTGCAATCATTCACACACTAGACTTGTACTAGACAATGTACGAGTATACACTTCAACAGTTTACACTTCAATTGGTTTTGGTATTACTCAAAATAAGTCAAAATCTGATTAGAGAGTCAACCGATTAAAACCCAAGAATATGCAATAGTGAAACATAAAATGGTAATCAGTGCACTAACCAGGCCCTTTCCAAAATGTAAAAAGTTGATTATGTTTCCTTATGTTGAGACAAGGGGCCTTCACCTTGGCTCACACGTGGGACTCACACAGCGTGGGGCGTGGTCAATGTAGCTCCTTTACACTTTTGTCTGATTAAAAGAACCTTTTAGACTCGACCCAGTTTAGTTTCTGAGATCTAATAGTATCAGGTTTCCCATGCAGCTATGACAGAGGTGACACAGCATCCATCTGCAAACATGAATTCATCAGCTTGAGTCGTTTAGAATTGACTAAATAGAAAAGAGGGAAAACCCGAAGTACTGACGGTGACTAACGTGAGTGAGATTGACCCTGAAGTGCACACAAGCTCGAGGAACATGTGAAACAAGGAAAGTCCAAAGTAATTTATTGATTATGAATGATAGGGCCTGTCCAAACCAAACAGTCCCACCCACTTTATAGTAAAAACCAGATTGAGGCAACCCAGCTCTGCTGCAATACTCTTTAATATCATGGATGTTTTAAGTCCCATTCTGCAAAATGTATCAAGGACTTAAAGACGCTTGATTTGTCACCTCACAGCTGATTTTCCTGAGTGAGCTTCCAAACAGTTCTTATCATTTTAACATAACTTTATCATATGAACTGATTATTCCAGCATAATGGAACACCTTTCAGAAATTGTATTATAGCACCTGCTAACCTTCATCTGGGAAAAATATATAAATCTTAGAGTTTGAGAGCTACCTTTGGGATAATCAGCAATGTGGTGAACTTGATTTGCAATTTGTGGCCGTCAAAGTCAGTATGAAGTCTGGCGTCTCTCCCTTTGTGAACTGTGGCCACACAAAGGCACCTCTCCTTCCTCCTGGACTCTGGACTAAAGCTGCAAACGTCTCTTGTCGACTCCCAGATGGTTTTGACTTCTCAAGTGAAGCAGAGTTGAGCCTCATCGTCCATCCTCCGACTAGTGAGCACCAGGCGGAGCGGAGGCGCCGGGCCCCCAGCCAACACAGCAGCAGCAGCAGCATCATTCCCCCCATCACACTCGAGGGTAGGGTTCCCTCCGGCTGCACCGAGGGCCCTCCAAGCAGCCATGCTCCTCTTGTTCGGCCCCCGGGGGACGGCTTAACATGTGACTGCTGCTGCTTCTGCCCACTCAGCTGTAACCAGGGTTCCCACAAACACTGAGCCATGACTGTCTTTAGAACGGGCGGATGGCAGAGTGTGTTTATTTCAGTTATTGTTATTGTTATTAGTGTATCGCCCTAAATCACAGCAGTAGTTATCTCGGAGGACTTTACCAAACATTGAAATCGCCAACACAGATAATAAAACGGTTCTAAAACAAGAAATACAATGATAAAAAAACACATAGACATTGGTCCATAAGAGTGTCCTGGATCATCCAATCCACTTTATTTATATAGCACATTTCATAAACACAGTTTCCAAAGTGCTGCACAATAAAATACTAATTAAATCATTACAAATTAAATAGGAATAACCATGTGTGCATATATGTTTAAATATAAAAATAGCAAAAAAACAAGATCAAATAAAATAATCACTGTCCTTATACCCTCCTGCATCGGAGAGGAAATATTCTAAAAACCCAGTGGGAGATTTCACATAAATGTTAAATCAATAACAAGCATCCAGAAACTTCAGTATTGGATTGGCCTCCTGTTCAACAACGCTGCATTTACACAAAAACTGTAAAAGTAGTGAACCTGGATTACGCCAAGAAACCAGACTCCACATTTGTCTCATAGCCAATCAGGCGCTGTCCAGCTGTTGTTGCTAACGGTAGCGGTTGTGGGACAGACACCTAATTTGACGGTTATTATTGCTATTGTTATTTTTAAAGAAGTAGAGCTTTGCACATCAATTGTTGGAGAAGGTGCGTAGGAGAGGGGGAAAGAGTCCCAGTGTGCAGGAAAAAAGTCATAGTTGCTCATGCACACTGCTGTGGAAAATGTTATGTTTCGGTCCTGAGACCTTCATCAGGCAGTATTTTAAAAGACAATATGAATGTAATGAGGCCTCATACATATAATAATAATAATAATATAATAATAAAACATACATAATAATACATGGGTACTCCAAACACGGTGGAGCTAAACTACTACTGTAGCCACATCTGCCCTGGGGCACACTGACAGAAGCGAGGCAACCAGTCCCTTCGACCACCACCACCCATTCACGCACACACCAGACTCATTCTAACAGTTTGGCACAACATTTTTGAAAGAGACATTATGTCCCTTCCCTCCGACAAACCGGACCATACGAATTGAAAATAGGCTCAAAAAATAGACCAGGCTCAAAACCGCTCCAAGTGATCTTCACACATGTAGCATCTGAAATTAGCTTGGGATCACTTAAACATTGTGCGAGCTGTGGAGCCAAACCTAATTTTTTGCCCCATTTTTCCGCTATTTAAAAATGTTCTCTCGTTCGCACAGTTGAATCGGTTGTTCAACTCCCAAGACTCCTCAATGTGAAAAAATAAATACAAATTACTCAATAGCGCCGCCTACAGAGTGAACCATAGTTTTACATGTGGAGAAAAATAATTCAATGTATTTGTGTATAGCTCTAAATCACAACAGTAGGTATCTCTGAGGACTTCACAAAACCATTGATTCGCCTACACAGATCAGAGAATCAAACAAGAAATGAAATGATAAAAAACATAAAGCCATTAGACCCTCCTGCAGCGGTATATGACTAGAGATAGAGATATACATACTTAAAAAAATGCCATTCTTTTTGTAGAGCCCAACATCACAACAGCCAAACCGTGTGTCATTTGCTCTACGAATTGTGGGAACCCTGCTTACATCGTCCCGCCTGCCGTCCCCAGTGCAGACGTGAACAACTGTTTGGGCTTGTCCAGGTGTGAGCCAGGATTTCCTCTAGGTGCATGGGCGTCACACTGCTCTCCTCCTCTAATACTCCTTTGTCCTGTAAGACCGTCACTCACTGAGCACAAGGACCAATCGACATGTTCGGACTCTTGGAACTGAACTGGACAAACACTGAACACAAATTTCCTGCCCTGAAAAACATGTGTATTTATTCCCATCTCCACACTGCAAAAAATTATGAAAAATTGCTCAACTTTGGCAAAATGTATCTTAATCTTAGCACATTTTGACTGCTTTGAAATCAGATTTGCCAATGGGACAAATAATCTTGTTTTGTCTCCTTTTTTCCTTTTAAATAGAAGAAATGTCTCTCTTGGAATGAGAAAATAAAGCAACAATTCTTTTAATCGGACTAAACGGCTTTGTCCCAATGGCAAATTTTGTTTTAAGACTGTCAGAACGTTCTCAAATTAAGATAAAAATCACTATATTCAAGCAATTATTACCCCATATTTCAATAAAAATTTTGCGGTGCCAGTGGAGATGCCAGAGCAGGGATCTGTAACGATAGGCAAAACGAAATGAATAGTCCAACCTGTGTGAGGCCCTTGATGCTCCGTGAGTGAAAAGCCTCTTTCCATCATGCATGGCCCAAAGAGCTGCAAATGCACTTCTGCCTTTAAACAACCGTCTCGTAACCTTCGACAGCCGTGGGTATTACCATGAGCACAATATTATTACAGTGAGGTATGGGGACTCTATGGATCCTCTACTGCCCATTTTGTCCTGTTCCATGTCCAACACGCGTGTCCGATTCTGTCGACAGCAGTGTGCCATTTTGTACGTCCGTCCTGTGTTTTGAGCTCAGATGTATTTCACACGGAGGATTTAGGTTTGAATATCCATATAATGTTGATATTGAGTTGGTGTAAATCTCCTGGTCCATCTGGTGAATGTTCTCAGAAGCAGGTGTTGTATCTCTGCAGTTGTGAAAGTCCCTCGTTTGCAACTTTGCTTCCTCATCAAAACAGTTTTTATGCTTCGGTCAGATCTCTTTGGAGCAAACAGACTATATTTTTAACCTTTTAACATGTTTGCACACTTGTGTCTATTTGCACAATCCGTGTGACTTTATCTTTTTCAAGTGACATGTACATTTCTCCAGTGTGAGATCGTCTATCTTATCTTATCTTAAACTCAAGTAGGGGACGAGTGCTGAATCTGTCCAGTCTGTTTCGTCATCGACACAGCTGCGGAGATCAAATCCCAGAAAATAAACTAGTGAAATCATGTCACTAGTTCCTTTCTCTCAAAACAGTTTGTCTCCAGCATTAGTATCATGTATATGTTTTCCGTCTGTCACATCGATCAGAGGACTCGGCCAATCAGCTCTCAGCCCTAAGAGTCCTATTGTGACTCAGTGTTTTTTTATAATTCGAAACCTCTCTGTTGGGACAAAGAAAAAATGTATTCTTAAAATGAAAATACCAGCACACAGTTGTCACAGATTTGCAAATAGAGACAACACTTTAGCTTGAAAGGCAGACGGATCCGAGACCATTCTGAGCGAGGACGGAGCTAAAAACGGGTCTGTTTTAATGAGGAACCATTTTGGAACATAAGAAAAAAATTCCAAAAGTGGGCTGCGTAATGCGTGTCCCTGAAACTGAAGTACACTGTTTATTTTGGTCCAGTAAGTATTAAAGGTACTTCCAGACGTGTCCTCTGTGGCCGCAGCATGGGTGGTCCGCATGTGCCCAGTCCCTCGGTCGTTCCGCATGACGGTGAATCCAATCTCCTTTGTGTCTTCTAATAACCTCCTTCCTTCATTAACCTTTGACATGTTTCTGTTTCAGCATTAAGAGATTGCATTGCATGAACATCTGCTCGAGTTATTAATGCCTTATTCAATTATGTTGAAATGATTTAGATTTGACCATTTGGAGCTTTTCCAGTGGACCGTGCGCCTAGACCTGCCATTCATTCTGTTTCAACAGCAAAATATGATGTACTATTTGTGTTCATTTAGGTCTTTTAAAGAAGATACACTGGAAAAACTGTCACAAAATATGTCAACAATTAGAATAAAATGGCAATGTTATTTTGAGCACATTCTGTCTGCCTCCTTGAAACATGATTTGCCAATGGAACAATGAGCAAAAAATGTCTCCCTTGGAATGAGAAAATAAAGCCACAGTTATTGCTTTGTCCCATTGGAGAATCTTGTTTTAACACAGTCAGAATGTGCTCAGATTAAGATAAAACCACTAGATTTATTTCGTCTTTTTTTTTTTTTGCAGTGTATGTACCTCAATATGTTGTATCTTAGTAAAGATGAGTGATAATAATACTTATAATCAAGACTTCTTGGAGGAGAAGGTGGATCAGATGTGAAAAACGTAAAACAATTAAGGCTCCCACAAGCAAGTCCCTCTTCTGTCAGATGCAAACACTACACTATGCCCAATGCTACAGAAGCATATAAGGCTACCACCCCCCGTTTTAGGGCATCGCAGGGCAGTAAGTCAGATTTTCTTAACAAATACAACTGAAATTTAGTGAAAGTGCGTAACGTGCGCATTGACACTGATGTGTCGGCGGTCTGAATGTCCCCTCACAAGTACCGGGGTGTTCACCCGTTCCACAAACTGCACTGGACTCATAATACAGACGGCCTCTTCAAGAAGGGCCAGAAGTGGCTTATTCTCGTGCTTGATGTGTGCGTATTGACACTGAAAAGTCCTCACTGAGGCATGAATAAAGGTTATCTTATCTTAGGTCCAACATTGAAGAGTTGTTCATCATTGAGCTAAAAACCTACACTCTCCACATGATGATATTCCAGAGCATTTGAATCCGTGCTTACGTTCATCTCGGCAGTGCACACGATTGACTTTTTCAAAGGCGCTCAAAGATCTCCCTAGAGACGTGTGCAGAGGCTGATCCTGTTCATTAGACAGAGCATGTTATCGAGCTGGAAGTCAATGAACCGCCCTGCTGGACTGGACTATTGGATTGTCCGCGTGCCTGAGCCTCACACGAATACACACTGGAACCACATTGGACCTCTGCGTGTGTCTGTACTGTGCTCCGGGGTTAGATTGAAGGCATCTAAGAGAAAGAAGACCAGTTGGGCTTCACAATATATAGATAATAGATCATTTACTTTGACCCTGTCAGTCACAGGGTCAAAGTAAAAACAGAGGGCAATGCCTCCATGAAGTTTGATAATAAAACACAGCACATGCGTTGAGGTGTTTTTACTTTGACCAGGATCGATTCTTCCTCTTCAGCCTCAGTCTACTCACTCTGTGCGATGTACGCCATCTACTGGTCACGCAAGGGAATGCACTTAAAACCCTACGGAGACTGTACATTAGGTGTGTGACGATATATCAATTTTTCGATATAATGCGATACTTTCTCCCGCGATTCGATTATCGATATGCATTTGCCAAGTATCGATATCAATTTTTTTTTTATTGGCATCAATACTTAATATATGGCTACATTACGCATCTCCATTGTATTAACCATGAAATCAAGAGTATTTTTTCTTTTATTTATGCCATAAATTGGCATATTGTATATTTCTGACCAATATATCAATAATCGTCATATCGTGATAAAATCGTTATCGTAATATCGTTATCGTGATATTATCGTTATCGTGAGCTTTGTATCGTATCGTATCGTGAGGTACCCTTAGGTTCCCACCCCTACTGTACATGAACAAAGCAAAAAATGTATCTGAATGGTAAAATAATGACGGCTTCCTGTCGACGGCTTCCTGTTGACCTTTCAGTTCTGTTCCAAGCCTCGATACGCCCAAAAGTCCTGCGTTGTCATTGGCCGGAGCGATTGTAAAAACACAGGTGAACAATGGATCCAGGTTAAAGTGAGAGCAGTGATAAACATTCTCCTATACACCAAACGAGGCACTTTGTCGTCCGGAGGCAACAGAGAGACATGGTTTGACAGTTTAGAACTCCAGTTTTAGAGACACAGAGGATGTAAATCTTTTGTTCTTTGTCAAATACAGACCTGGAGTTGTGTTTAGCTCCATCTGTTAGCATCCCTTCTGTTTCACTGTCCTTTGCAAACGTGTAACACTCTGACAACCTCTAGACAACTGAACTTCCACCACGTCATGTTAGATTACTGTATATTCAATTCAATTCAACTTTATTACAGACTCTAGGTCCAATTTAAAACATACAGACTGACGAGACAAAAATTATTATACATTTCTTGTTTACGCATAAAAATGAAATTCTGCAAAACACCAATACAACATTTACAACTATGAAGTGAACTAATTTCTTTAGCTTGTATGAACTGACTTACACCTGTTGTGACTAAAACCTCAATGACAAATACCAATTTATACATAGTTATTGCAGTTGGTGGCACCGCTGTTACATATCGCTCTGTTTATTCTGTTTTTTTAATGATATAACTGTCCATTCTACAGCCTTCTCTCTCCTCTCCTCAGTTAAACCTTTAACCATTTTCCAACGTCGTTCCTGATATAGTTTAAAGGAAGTATGTAACTTCCCACTTCTGCCACTAGATGGAGTGGTTCACTTGTTTCTTAGTCATTATACTAAAACGTTTCCATAACAATGATTCCAGATTCTAAAACATGATTCTCAAAGTTATGTTTAAGGGACTGAATGAACACAAATATAGCATCATATTTGTTCTTTGCAACCAGTCGCAATCTACTCCACACGAGAATTCAAATTTGACTAAATCTCATTCAAATCTTTATGCAAATGTGATAATTCTTCAACCTTGTCGACACGAGGCAGGTGCTTGAAGGTGGAGAAATCATTTAGCTCATATTTTGTATATTATCAATGACATATTTGTGGTTGTTATTGTCAAATAAACATGTTTTCTATCGTCTTGGTGCATGGCAGCCCAGCAATTAAACAAGAATTGGAGGCTTTTTGCCCAGAGGAATGAGCAGTTTTGCCATCAGAGAGGAGAAAGAACCTCATCCACAGAAGACTCCAAGCTCTCACAGATGAGAATAATGATAGTAATAACAATACATATTTATTTGTAGACATCGTTTTTGAAACAATTGCTTTATAAAGTGCTGCACAGTCTGCATGAAACAATACAGGTCATAATAATATAAAATAACAAATACAGGAGTCTAAAGCAGACAAACGCACACAACGAGAAAGACAAAAGACACTGTGGAACATGAAGCGGCAGACAGTTAAAGGCGATTCAATAAAAGTGGGTTTAAGAAGTGATTCAAGTAAGTAAAGTTTAATTGTATAGCGCCTTTCACAGAACAGGAGCGCTTCACAATTCAAAATGTACAGAGAAAACACTACACATACAATTCATTTCCAAACACATGGGCAGAGACTGGGATGACGGGCTCATAGTTGAGCTGCCAGAAGGTTAAAGGCTGTGGGGGGAATAGAAACATGTTTACTTGACTCTAAACATAACCACCTAATGATGTTTTCATCCATCTCCAAAATACGACTAAAACAAAGTGAGATGTGGAGCAGGTACAGGGCCTGTAGGTGGGATCATGTCCAGAGTCTGTGACCTCCGACCTCCTGCTGACGCTGCTGTGTCCACAGAGGCTGATGGGATGAGCGGAGGAGAGGACTCTTTCAACATCAACGACCCCGACGAGGGCTTCTCCTCCGGGGCGTCCAACAGCAGCCAGCCCAGTGCCACCAAGTAAGACTCTGGTTGATGGACTTAGATTGTTATAGTTTAGTTAAAGGTGGGCTCCCTAACTAAGAAAATACAGGACATTTATAGAACATGGAGTTAGCGATACATAAAATAAAATAGAAAGAGGTACAGAAAAAGGTAATCAAAAACAGCAATTATATACATTTTTAGTGTTAAATTGGGCCTCTTTGTGTTGGTGTATGTTACCCACTTACTCTCCTAACTTTCCTTTTCATACTTACAACATGTTGTATTTATGTACAAGAAAGAGCCCTGTGAGTCTATAGTTGTTTCTTTGGGCCGGGGTGAGGGCAGGCGTCTCCGTTTTGTTCTGTCTGATAAAGCTGATCTAAAGATGTGAAAGAGTAAGTACATGTGAAAACTAGTGATAGAAGACATGGGTTTTATTATTTTTCCAATATTCGTGGTTTGAAAGATTGCAATCCCAGTTTTAAAGAGAGAGGATGTAAATCTTTTGTTCCTTGGAGTTGTGTTTAGCTCCATCTGTTAGCATCTCTTCTGTTTCACTACCCTTTGCAAACGTGTAACACTCTGACAAGTGCAGATCCTGATATTCCACCACGCCATGTTAGATTACTGTATAAATTCATTGTTTACGCATAACGTCTATTCCCGCTTAGACGTTAAATCCAGTGGAGAATCAAACTACTATATTGGCGTTCCCTAATCTTGGTCTGTCCTCTCCCCGAGCAATGGCAAAACATTGTCAAATTCACCTGCATGTGAAAGCTAGATGCTGTCAGATTTCTGAAGCTAAGCAGGGCAGGGCTGGTCAGTACTGTGATGGGAGACCTCTGGGAATACCAGGTTCGTGAACCACTGTGTTTAGAGTGGAGCGTCTTTGAAAATCCAGAATAGCACTGTACAAAACTATTATTATTGAACGTGTGTTAACAGTACTTGACTGTTTGGTGTGTGTGAGTGTGTATATTTGATTAGAGGCTGTGTGTGTGTATTTGATTGAAGGTAGTGTGAGTGTGTATTTTATTGGAAGCAGTGTGTGTGTGTTTTTGATTGGAGGCAGTGTGTGTGTGCGTGTATTTGATTGGAGCCAGTGTGTGTGTGTGTGTGTGCGTGTATTTGATAGGAGCCAGTGTGTGTGTGTGTGTGTGCGTGTATTTGATAGGAGCCAGTGTGTGTGTGTGTGTGTGTGTGTATTTGATAGGAGCCAGTGTGCGTGTATTTGATTGTAGCCTGTGTGTGTGTACGTGTGTGTACGTGTATTTGATAGGAGCCAGTGTGTGTGTGAAGAGACATGAAGCGTCTCTGATCTCCTCTGTATTCTTGCGTCAGGCCGAGCAGCAAGTCCAGCTCCAGAGCGAGCCTGAAGGGAGCCAGCGGCAGCAGCTTCAAGAAGGCCATCAGCGCCCGTCTGTACCGGGACAAGGAGCCGGAGAAGAGGCACCAGCGCCCGCACACGCCGCCCGGCAGCCTCCACGCGGACGCCATCCAGCTCAGCCCCATCAAGAAACACCTGAGCTTCCCCGCCTTCGAGGGCAGTGGCCTGAAGCTGACCGGGGCCGAGCAGGACGGGGACGAGGGGGAGAGGGGAGCGGGCGGAGTAGCAGGAGCCTCCAGGCGTCATTCCACTGTCAGCCTGCAGGAGGAGCACCTGGGGGGGCACCAGGTGGACCCGGCGGGAGCGCCCCTCACCAAACAGTCGCGCTCCCCCAGCTTCAACATGCAGATCATATCACAGGTCTGAAGCACACGCCTTTACAGAGGAGGCCATTCTCATGTCGCTGCTGATTAGTTACCGGTACTCGAGTACACAGATTATTCTATGTTTCAACTTGTTTCTGACAATTCCAGAGTATTCCTTTTTCCATCCATTCATTTTGTTTTCCGTGGAGAGATCATGGAGGCAACAGTCTTAGCTGAACTGCCCACACTTTACTAAATTAAATTACATTTTCTTTTTTATCGCACAAATCACAACAGTAGTTTACTTGGAGGACTTTACAGAAGTCGACTCGCCATCACAGAATCAAATAGTTTAAACACAAGAAATGCAATGGTAAAAACACATAGAGCCATTGGTCCGTAAGGGACAGAGACCAGAAAACAAGAAACACAAATCTTTCCTAGTCAAATTGTAGATCAATAAGATGAAGTATGTGCAGCGTTAGCAGTGCAGAAGTCACTGAGGTCCCAGCGGCTCTCAAGAGGAACGAACATGACGTACAATATTTCACTTTTTAATTTATTTTAGTCATTTTTGACCATTCAAAACAATTTCAGGCACTTGAAGGGTAAAAATTAGGTCTGAAAAAGGAATTCTAGATGCCTACCCTTTCATATACATTCAACTGAAATAGCTGCTACACACAAATCAAAATAATACATTTACTCTATCATTAAGGTTATTTTCTGCTCAGCGTTCACTATCAATATATGTTGCAATAATATTTTCTCGATAGAAGTCAGAAATAATTTGAGCCGTAATGATCTGTGTGCATCCGTACCGGGACTTGAACCAGTCTGTGAGATCAGGTGTGGTGGTGTTCCTCTGTAAAGGTTCCGTGTGGAGTTAGAGAGAGCGGTCTGTCCACGGTCCACACGCAGACACTCCAGGACACGTCTGCGGCCTCCATCCATGTTTTCATCTTCTCCGCTGCACCTTTGTTAAAGGACAGATCTGCAGAATGGACTTTCATGGGCTTTGAACCACGTTACAACATTGTTCCAAAACAGATCGTGAGTCGCTCCTGCCTCTTCCTCCAAGTCTGCTCCATGTTGAATCTGGCTGAGCTAGCGTCGCCTTTTTGGCTTTTTCACTTCTAATTCTTATCAATGTATTTTTGTAGCGCCCTCAGAGGACTTTACAAAGTTGTTGATTCACCTCCAGTTCGAAACACAGGTAATGCTATAAAAACAAACACATAGGAGCGGTTCAGGGAGGTCCAGAAATGTCCTTGGACCCTCCTGAAATGGCAAGGAAGCACTTAGATCCAGGACTGAGGCTGTAGATCCAGGACTGAGGCTGTAGACCCAGGACTGAGGCTGTAGATCAAGGACTGAGGCTGTAGATCAAGGACTGAGGCTGTAGACCCAGGACTGAGGCTGTAGACCCAGGACTGAGGCTGTAGACCCAGGACTGAGGCTGTAGACCCAGGACTGAGGCTGTAGACCCAGGACTGAGGCTGTAGATCAAGGACTGAGGCTGTAGACCCAGGACTGAGGCTGTAGATCAAGGACTGAGGCTGTAGATCAAGGACTGACCCTGTAGACCCAGGACTGAGGCTGTAGATCAAGGACTGAGGCTGTAGACCCAGGACTGAGGCTGTAGACCCAGGACTGAGGCTGTAGACCCAGGACTGAGGCTGTAGACCAAGGACTGAGGCTGTAGACCAAGGACTGAGGCTGTAGACCAAGGACTGAGGCTGTAGATCAAGGACTGAGGCTGTAGACCCAGGACTGAGGCTGTGCTGTGCAGGACTGAAATCACAACTTTTGACTTTGTTTGTTTTAGAAGCATGAATGTTTTTTTATTTTTGTTTCATTTCATTGTCAACAAAAGAATGAGGAGGTGAAACTTGAACAACACAGACAAAAGTTCTTAAAAGTCCATTCTGCACAAGGGCCAAATGTGTCTGTGTTTGCGTGTGGACTGTGCCTGCCCCATGGGTCAGGGTTTAGGGTTTAGGCCCAGGGTCAGGGTTTAGGCCCAAGGTCAGGGTTTAGGCCCAAGGTCAGGGTTTAGGCCCAGGGTCAGGGTCAGTGTTAAGCTAAAGCCATTCAAACTCACCCCCAGGAGTCGTGTCCGCCCTGTCTCTGTGTGTGTCTGTGTGTGTGTGCGTGTGCAGGTGTGTGGATCTCCCCCTGTGGTCACACCTCCCCCCTCCACCCCTCACATTTTAAAGACACGACTCGGAAAAAAGCAAACAAACTCTTCAGACAACTGGGGTGACCTCCGCTGTGCGTCCTGTCTCTCTTCATTCTCGGGCTCACGTGCAATCGATCCTGCTGATTTCCGTTTCCAATATGTCTTGAATCATTTCAGAGCAGAGTAAAGTTTATTTTAATGGTTATATATATTTTATTACGATCCAAAGAGAATGGCACTTTTATGTATTTAGCGCACTTCTGGAAGCTGGTGTTCTGTTCAGTGGCAGCCACAAAAAACTGATTTGTCATTTATTTATTTTTCTCGGTCATGTACGCAATAAAAGTCGTTTCCGTGTGGCGTCTGGAAACTGGGACAGACGTGTTGCATAGTGCGCCTTTAACCAAACCTTTTCTTTCTTAATGTCATTAGTCGAGACGTATAACCAGCTTCCAAACACTGATGCGGATTCCATTTTTATGCCAAGCTGTTAATTTGAATGTTTGACTGTGTGTTTATGTACTTCTCAATCTTGTCTGTGCAGCTACAGCTATGTAAGGGACGAGAGGGAGCATCGGTATCCATGGTAACGCATAGAAATCTTATTTTGTAGTTGATATGGACTGAAATAGGGATGTTCACCATAGCCTTTGTTCGGCTCCATAGGTGGTGCCGATACTGATACTAATCTGAGTCCACATACGGGTATCTTTAGAGATCAATAAATATTAAACTTATTTAGTAATAGACACTCATAAAGTGACTTGGAATCTGTTTAATATTCTTGAAAACCCGACTGTTCCCAGTACCCGGTGGTCCAAATACTCGGTGGTCCAAGTACTGCCCATACCCAAAACTTGACTCTGAGATTCCTGATTTTTTTTTAGCCCCACAAGATGGCGCCACATCACCCACACGTTCGCCCTCTATTCCTCCATCGTAGCGCAGTCTGGGTCACAGTTTCATCAGGGGGGGCGAGCTGTGTTTAAGATGGATTTAGCTTTAGAATGAAGTTTTCTTTTCCTGAGATCTCTTCAGACGCAGGGTTGGGGCTCGTCGCGCTCACACCTTCTCTGTTAAAGCAGAGGTCTCTCTCTGGTTTACATACGAACACATTCCAAAAACATGGAAATGTAGGTGAGCTTGGATCGTTGAGGACATTTTAACCCAATATTCCAGTCGAGTTGGAAGAATTGGTCTGTGTCAGGAGTCGACCATGCTGTTTTTTTACACGGAGCACCCAAAAACACATCTGGAATATACTATACGGCCTCCTCACATTACCACAATGCATTGCACGACCATCTAAACTAAAGCCGTTCTTTTTCAACAGTGCACAAACAGTATGTATACGATTTAAGATGCTCCTTTATTGTGTCCCATCGGAGAAAAGTGTGTTGGGACAGGAGACCACATGCTTTCATTCGATTTGAGTGGACTTCAATTTAAAATAATTCAAAATAATGTCTGTTCTTTGCTTCTGATATGTCGCCTGCAAAACGGTGCTTTCAAACTTTCTAGTGGCGTGGATTAGGGTTAAGGTGACTGTGTGACGCAGGGGTCTCCAACCTGTAGCTCGGGAGCCACCAGAAGCTCGCCGCCACCTTCCAGGTAGCTCGCCAAAGGATTTAGAAAATTAAAAAAATCAAATAATATACTGAATATTTCAGATTTTATTATTCATTATCATTATTTATCATTGTAAATGCTTTTACTTTGTGGTTTAGTAACAAATTAAACTACTAAATTAAAGTAGTAAAAAATATAACAGGCTCCTATCACTACGCTGCCGAACGGAACGTTTCAAGAGATCCTTTGTTCCTTCGGCTGTCAGACTGTACAACAAACCTGACTGACTGTACAACACCAATTAAAGAGTCTTCTGCTGCTGGACACCTGAATTTCTTCTACGGGGGATCAATAAATTATCTATATCTAAAAATGTGATGACAAATAATGACAGTACCAATATCAGGCTTGTTCAAACCAATATATCACTAATTTTTTCCCAGGGCCGCTTCAAGGAGTATCTCTCTGCCTTTATCGTCCCGGGAAAGTAGCTCTCTGAGTTAAAAAGGTTGGAGACCCCTGGTGTAACGTATGATGAATTGTAACTGGAGCAATCTGGATACTTTCTTCTCTGAGCATCCGTCTAGTTTGACCAATTTCCACCAAAAAATCTGCAGTCTATGCGTATGTGTAAAAACGGCGTCCTCGTCCTGTCGGGGAAGAAGCCACTAGGAAGTTCCAGACTTTTTCTCGTCACATACTGGGCTCGCTCTTTGTAAATCTTCCACGTGTAAAAAGATCAGCAAGAGTCCGGCTCCTTTTATCACCGACTCACAATCTGCAGCATGAAAACCACTTCTGTTCAACCATACACTCCTCGTCTCGGCCGCATGCCCAACCCCCGGCTGCTCCCTGACCTCCAGGCAGTGCCCCCCGCATGTCTCCTCCGTCCCCCGTCGATATGTGCCAAAACCCCGCTGTCTTACCGTCTCTTTTGCGCGACTCAGGCCTGGTCGTTTGCTTTGTCGGTGGAACTGGATGGTTATGGAGCTCTTATAGGACACTTGTTATGCATCTGCGTCTTCGTGAAGTGTGCGGAGACAGACCTGGAGTTGTTTTTAGCTCCATCTGTGCTGAAATCAAACAAAAATGTCGGTGTTGAAGATGCACAATTGGCGAGGTCATAAAGCTGCAAGTTTTTAGATGTTTTTTTTTCTTCAACTTTCCAGTTTACTTTTAACATTTCTGATCTTTCTGGGTCAGACTCCAGTTGTTTAGTAACTGAATCTGCGAGTGCTGTCTTACATCTGGCTGGAAGATTGTTAAATTGTTGACATATAATCAGTCGTTCAGTGTGTAGCCAACGTTCCTCGAGTCAGAGAAAGAAATCTCGAAAAACTCCCAAACGTGTCAAACATGGCCGACACAGAGGAAGCAGTGGCAATAGTTTATTTCAAATCTGCGTTGGTCAAAGGACAGGAGAATAGAGTTTGGGCTAAAATAAAAATTCCGCTCCCCCTTTTTAGTCAACTTTAGACTTCAGAGTCAAATGTGATCAAATCAGAAGAAACGCACAGGTGATAGAACTGTTTTAGGTTAAAGTTAGGAAAAATCTGACAAATTCAGCTAAAAAAATTTAATCGTTTGGGTATTTTTTAAATCACTGGCGGGTCAATTTGAGGGTTAAGGATTAAGCAAATGTATTTTATGACATAGTTCCCTTGTTGTAGTTTGAAAGTTTGGAACTCTGGCTTTAAAACATACTTCTTCAGCACCTTCAACATTCTAGGGAGAATCTATCATCTTGTCTTCTCAATATTCTATACCAGACAATTGTGATATAGATGTTATTACCTTGACATGTTTCGACGGTATTCTGAAGAAGACAGGAGCGTACCAAGCCCCGGCAATCCAAGATGGCGGCGTGTACAAATCTATGGCTTGTGCTCAGTGGCGCAAGAAGGGACCATGGGCACCAAAAGATTAGCGCAACTCGCCCATATTTGGTCCTCCCGGTTTTGCGCAGTGGAAGAGCTCCCATGATGCTTTGCGGCAAATACTATCGATGATGCGTGTGTGGCTCTCATGCACGTGCACAGAGGGGAACGCAAATGTAGTCTTGTTTTGTCTTCCGGTGCGCAGGAAGCCCCCGAGCACGTGGGTCCTTCAGCTATAAGCTACTAATACACTATCCAGTTGTTATTATATCCTCTAAACATGTCAATATATTACCGTCGCTAACTTACTATTGTTTGGAAAAGAAAAATCATTGACCGTAAATCCTCACAAATGGTTTCTCCATTAGTTCAGTTATGTTTCTATAGTTAGCCCTTTGTCGTTTCCTCAGTCAAGACACAGCTAACATGTCGACATGTTAGCACCGTCGCCCATCACTACTTACAAATGCTAGCGTTTGCATCCGTAGCTTATGCTAATTTTGAGCTTACTTAAAACTCTCACCTGACAACATCAACATGAAAACAATTGTCTTCACTTTATATTGTAACTGTCTATTAACTGAATTTGAATTTATCGATAAAATCCAATAAGCTAACAAGGAGCACAGGGCTGATCATTAGTTAGGTTTTTTTTTTAAGTAAAAATCGTACATGTTGCTTAAATTAGGAGGTTTTCTGGTTACGCCTCTTGCTTGTCACTGCAGATGTGTGTGTTTTGCCTGGAATGTTCCACAGATTAAAGTTATATGAGCTGTTATCGTGCGATCCTGGAGACCCCGCGATGTGAGAAGCTACTCTTCTGTAACGTTTTTATGTCTCTGGAGATTTATAAGTGATTCTATGCAACATTCATCTCATTTCGGAGGTTTTTAGGTTGAAAATTCAAATTAATTTCCCCGTTTTTAAGTTGATATCTTCGCACAAATGTCAATAATTTACCGTCCAAACATTTTCAAGGCAAAATCTTGAACTTCGATTCAGAAATTTCGCAGATTTAGCGGGTGCATGCCAGAACAGTCTGAAATATTTAAAAAAAACATTACTTACTTGGCCTTGAACACAATTGGAATCTGATTTGGAAATGCTTAAAGGTATATTGGAGGATTTTCCCAAATTTTAGGAAAGAACCGCCCTCTCCCCTTTTTGTACAAAACTCTCTTCTTATTTGTCGAGCACGTATCACCAGAATGATTGACAATTGGGAGGACCAATAGTCTTGATGATCCAAACGGAAGTAGAAAATCCCCCAGTTATACCGTTAAGATAAGTTTATTGCCGGAGAATGAGCCACACAACGACTCGGCCCACCCAGTTTTGTGGCCTTTCTCCAAGTGAAGTCATAATAAAATGCAATCTATTCTTTTTGGAGCGCTAAAAAATAACGTCACGCTAATAACACATGTGACACAGACCTGAGACTGACGGCCATTTTCGATGTTCCCAGAATGCCATTTTTCACTGTCTCTTCCTGCATTTCTGCCCGTACCATTTTGGATTCTGTCCTCTGCTGCCATTGGCCTGTACACATGTCAATCATTTCTGTCTCTCAAACGTCCCCTCCCGCTCTGCACTAGTCATCACATGCTGTAAACAGAGACTTATTTTAAAAGGTGTAAATACTGTAGTGTACAAATGTGAAAGCAGATGAATCTATGGTTACAAGCGGATGTCGACCGAGGATGACAAATGTATATTGTTGAATAAATATTGTGCTGTAAAGTAAACATTGTTGTGTGTTTGTTTTGTTTTTTTCAGACCAGAGTAAACATTATATATTTACAACTATTTATATCAAAGTGAAATTATGATAAAGTAAAAAAAATTCTAAGTGTCAGAAATATGACTACAGAAAGAGTACTCTACACTGTTAGATTTATAGTTGCAAAAGTATCTATTCAGAATACACAGTTCAACATTTTGTCAAGTTACACAAACTTAAGTTAGAGTTTTGACCCTTTGATGTTCACGCCCTAAAGAAAGCAATTTAATTTTGCATGGTTTGTTTATGTTTAGTGACTCAAAAGGTGATCCACAAAATGGTTGAGGAAACTATTAAAGGGGTAAGGATCACAACCAAGAAACACAACTTTTTTTTAATCTGCAACTTCATGTAAACAGGGGGCATGCAATAGATCAGAGTGAATGGATTTGTGTAGTATAGGTTTAGCGTGTGTGTGTGTTTTTTGACTGATGTTCAGATTGTGCTGTATGATTGTAATGCATGTAAGGTGTTGTCATTGTCACACACCTGCATTTAAAGGCCTTTTAAATATACAGAGCTCCTTTTTTTGCCCTGAAAATAGTCACATTTGTAAAAGCAAGATGCAAACAAATATTAATGATGTGTGTAAGTTTTACCAGAGTGTGTGTGTGTGTTTTCTCCAGTGTGTCTTATTGCAGTGTGTATTTTTCCAGTGTGTGTTTGTTCAGTATGTGCGTGTTTTTTTTGCAACTTTAAAAATAATAAGTGCAGTATAAAACCACACATACACACAGAGAGATCTCGTTGGCAGAGTTACATCGAGTAGTAGAGAAAAAGGTCAAACTGTCTCTTATAAATGTCAAAGGGACTGATGCTGTGGTCAAAGGGACTCATGCTGTGGACAAAGGGACTGATGCTGTGGACAAAGGGACTGATGCTCAAAGGGACTGATCCTGTGGACAGTGTTTGTGACTGACATGTGGGAGAGGCCTGAGTGATGCGGGCCCCAAAGCTCAGGGGCCTGATGCTGCTGCAGGGGAGGGTTGTTCCACTGGTGTCCACACGGGGGCAGTGTTGCACCATCAGAATCTGATGTTTTTCTGAACAAACTGACCGTAACATGAGGCTCAGAGGAGAACAGAGGGTTTGGCTTCACTACAGCTTCACCGACAAACCCAGAGGGAGAGAAAGTGTGGTCAGAGTCAGAGTGGGTCAGGCCAGGGGTCAGGACACAGGCCAGGGGTCAGGACACAGGTCAGGGGTCAGGACACAGGTCAGGGGTCAGGACAGGGGACCATATAGACATTATCGGACGTAGTCATGCCTATCTCCGCCATTGAAACTAATGTGCCATCACTTGTCTTCTATGTGGCTTTTTCAAAATAGTCGCTGGGCAGGAAAAGGTGAAAAAAAGCATTTGCGCATGCGTCAGCCGTCACTAGTACCATTCATTTAACGAGTGTCTTCTGAAGTCCACAGCGGTTAAACTAGACTGGTTAAAAAAGAAATACTCCCCTCAACATTGACGCACATCTGGAACGTAGCGTTGGGACAAGAGTTGACTTTTAGACCCATCCATCCATCCATTTTCTACCCTTTAATCCATTTCTGGGTCAGGGCACCCCCCTCAGAGATGCCACCCAAGTCTCATAGCACCAGCCCCTCACTGACCCTCTGCAGGTGGTGAGTCCACAGGAGGACGGCTGCTCTCTGAGTGTGAGCATAGCCTTGATCTTTCAGTGGGGGCTTTGGGCAAAGTGGGGTTAAGTGTCTTGCCCAAGGACACAACGGCAGCAGTCATCAGTGGGAGTAGGTGGAGAAGGTGCAGAGTTTTAGACCATCCTGTATAAAGACGTTTTCCAGAGGAAAGAAGACGCCAAACAAAAGCATGGGGTAATTCTCTTTCCGGGTACACCCCCACAGGCTAGGAGTGAGATTGCAGCATGTCAGCACATTTGGTCATGGACCTTTTGGAGCTGGGACCCGCCCCCACTGGCTAGGACAGTGGTCAGGGGTTAGGACAGGGGTCAGGGAGAAGGGCCCACAGTTGAACAGTCCTCTGAACAGATCGTTGCATGAACACTGTCCTCCAGTGGCTGGGAGCTCCCATACAGGGTGAGCTCAGTCACACGGGTTAGAGCCGCTGCTCCTTCACTTGGCTCATTTGTTCTGGATGCCTCCTGGAGGCCTCCCTGGGGAGATGTTCTGGGCATGTCCCACTGGGAGGAGACCATGGGGGGAGGCCCAGGACACAGTCCCCCTGTGTCCTGGGTCTCCCCCTGGTCAGCTTCTCTGAAGATTCCCTCAAATGAGCTGGAGAAAGTGTATGTGGAGAGGGAAGTCTGTGTCTCTGCTACTAAGACTGCTGCTCCCACGACCTGGCAATGGATAAAGAGAAAGAAAATGAATGGATGGATGGAAGAACAGATAGTGACTCGGCTCTCAGGTTTTACCGTGAGAAGCAATCCGTAAATTTTGCATATAATCCACTTATGCTGCTCTTGAGGACCAGAGAGAGACCAGAGAGAGTCCAGAGAGGTAGATTAGAGAGAGACCAGACCAGAAAGAGACCAGAGAGAGTCCAGAGAGGTAGATTAGAGAGAGACCAGACCAGAAAGAGACCAGAGAGGGAGTCCAGAGAGTCCAGAGAGGTAGACTAGAGAGAGACCAGAAAGAGACCAGAGAGAGTCCAGAGAGAGTCCAGAGAGAGTCCAGAGAGAGTCCAGAGAGGTAGACTAGAGAGAGACCAGAGAGATAATATATGTATAATTCTTGTACTAGAACATACAGTATTCTACACTTGCTTCTCTACTACGCTCATATTTATTTATTTCAACAGTATATGAATAATTATGAGCACTGCCACAACTTAAAGATATAAACTTTATACTTACTTCCGATTATGCTTAAATCAGAGATTTTAAATGTTAATTTTTCTTATGCTAAAGTTAGAGATGATTTTGATTTTAGTATCAGTTATTGAAAATTGACCTTGTGCCGTGTTCTCCGACTGTTCTGTAACTGCTGATGGATGCAACACTGACATTTCCCCACTGTGGGACCAATAATCCCTCTAATCCTAATCTTAAAATAAACTTGAATCTGAATGATGACAGGGGCTCAGCTGGGACCATAGTTTCCGGAAGTGACGTACGCCCCCCCCCCCCCCCCTCTCTCCCCCTCCTCTCGCTCGTGATTGGTGGATCCCGCTCGGACGGTAAACACTCGGCTCCACGGTCCCACTCGGCGCCGCTCGCTCTCCTCTTCTCCCGGATTAACGGTAAAACGCCCTTTTCCCATCATTATTCTCCCATTTGTGACTTATCCCCAAACTTTGTACGCGTGCTTTTCCCACTCCCGCGGGTTTGTGTTGTTGTGACGTGACGTATTGCGCGGATCTGGCACGGGTCGGTGTCTGCGGTCCCCTTTACGCACGGACTGTACAAGCCTCATCCCGGAGAGGAGGCGGATTGTGACGTGACCCAGAGCCGTATCTCTCCGTGGGCATGTAGTGTCTGCGCTGGAAACGTCCTCAGAAAACGCGCAGTGGGTTGTGGTTACGCAACGGCAGTGCGCGCACGGGGTCGTTTGGATGTTGTGCCGAATGGACAAACGACTGTTGTGTCCATGCACGGACTCGCACGGGACAGCCCGGATTAGTCTGCTTCAGCTCATGGCGCAGACTCGATGCGAAACAAGCGCAGCACAGTGTCCACAGCAGAGGTCTCCAACATGTTTGAGATTGAGAGCTACTTTTTATGGAGAGGCTTCGCAGGTCTTTACCCCCTGCTGCTGTCAGACTGTACGATGAGAACTGCTGAGCCTGTACAAGTCATTCATCTGTAAATAGTAAATACTGTAATCATGTGCAATGTGCAATACTGCAACTTCAGAATGTCACTTTATCTACTTTTTATCCTGCCCAATATGAATATAACTTTACACTATAGCTATTTTTTTAAATGTAGTATGGATATATTGATATTTAAGCATTTACAGCTAGCTAAGAAACATAGCAGCTACTTAAATTGTTTATTTTGTGTCCCTCACTGTCCTGTATGTGCGCTGCAACATTGACATTTCCCCACTGCAAGACAACTTTTTTTATTTAACCTTTTTTTTTTTTTACCAGAAGTCCCATTGAGATTAAGAACCACTGTTTCAAGGGAGTCCTGGGCTTATTTTATCAAACAGAATCAACAGAGAGCTCCTCCTTTGACAGTCGTAACACATTCGTAATCCATAATAATTATAATTAACACACATTTATGATACACCATTATACCACAGCAGTAGCTCACTGGCCCCCTTTCCGGTAGCTCCCCAAAGGGTTTAGAATTCAACACATGATCTTGAATTTTGAGTCAATACATATCTAAATTGTTTGTATTATAGTATATTTTACATTTCTCAATGTTTTGTCGTTATTATTACATAGATTTTTTTGTTTTGTTTACAACTACAAACCGAAGTTGCTCTCTGGCTTTTCCATTGTATAAAAGTAGCTCTCCGGTTGAAATAGGTTGAATACCCCTGTACTACAGTATCCTGCATTAAGATATGTTTATTCTTTATTAGTCCCACTCTGGGGAAATGTCAGTGTTGCTTTATGAGTGACAGAACAGTAGGAATGAGGAGCACGCAGCACAAGAGAAATGAACAATAACATCAAATATAACAAGTATAACATCTGTATCTTTCGCAGAATAAGGAAAGACGTCTAAACAAGACTTAAAGGTGCTGTATTTAGGAGGTTCCCAAATGTTAGAAAAGAACCGCCCCCTCCACTTTTTGACCAAAACCCTCTGGTCTTATTGGACGAGCACGTATCACCAGAATGATTGACAACCGGGAGGGCCAATAGTCTTGATGATCCACCCGGAAGTAGAAAATCCTCCTGTTATACCTTTAACTCATTGACTGCCAGCCATTTTTTATTACTTCACAGATTCTCAAGAATATTATAGAATATTATTTCTTAAGACTATGTAAAATGTGAACCCAGATTCTGAAAGACTGGATTTTCTACTTTGATCAGCAAAAATAAGTTAGTTTTTAGCTATTTTTAACCCCCAGTCGAATAGAGGGTCTCAGACAAATATGTCAATGGCAGTCAACAAGCTCTTTATCCGGTTAGCTTTAGCTTTAGCTTGATCTGCACATACAACTGAGGGATTGTGTCTTCTCTCTTTTGTTTGTGTTGTGATTTTTTTCTGTTTTTCTGATAGTGTCTGGTGTTGTGGAGCGCTCTGAGTGGCCCTGTGTGTGACCTGTGCAATACAAAAACATGTGCTTTGGCGTGAGTTAGGCCGACCCGGCTTGGAGGCTGTTGTTGTGCGGAGCAGGTGTGTTGCTCCTGCCCTTTGCCTTCTCAGATAAGGTGTTACTGTCAGACTGCTGTTAGAGGCTGCGCTGGTTAAACATAAACACATGACGTTTCCAGAGGAGCCACAATTAGTTTTTTAACTTTACTTTTAAGTCCAGCAAAGAAAATCATTTTAGTGACGGCTTTGCACTGGTGATGTCACATGTTGTTTACCTCTACTGCACGTGCAATACTTACATCTTTTAACTTTCATGCGAAAATCCATATACTGTCAGACCTGTGAAGCTGTGCAGGGCAGGGCCTGGTTAGTGATGGGAGACTTCTGGGAACATCAGGTGCCACAGTGGGGCAGCTGTAGTGCCAAACTGTGGTTGTGTCCTTAGGCAAGACACTTCCCCCACATTAGAATGAGTCTGGTGTGTGTGTGTGTGTGTGTGAATGGTTGGTGTTGGTGGGAGCTGGCTGGGGCACGCTTCTGTCAGTGTGCCATAGGGCAGCTGTGGCTACAGTAGTAGTTCATTCATCTGTGTTTGGAGGGAAAGAATAATGACATGTGAAGTGTCTTTGAGAGTCCTGAAAAAGCATTCTATTAAACCAATGCATTATTTTGACTTTTTAACCGTTTGGACATTTCCTGAGAACACTCTAAGCTAGAGCTGCAACTAACGATTATTTTGTAATCGATTAATCTATCGATTATTTTTACGATTAATCGCTTGGCTGTGAATTGTGTAGAAAAAAATTATTTTTTCATCACAAAAAGCTAAAGTGGCAACACTCGAGGACATAATGATGGCGTAAACTTAAAGTAAATGTTTGTAACAGGCTCTTTGTGCTAATTCTGCTCTGATTGGATGAGACAGACAGATATTCATGAAATTATAAAAACAAAGTCGGTTTTAATTAAAAATACTACATTTTCATGTCATTTTTGCTCTGTTTGAGTCCGTGTGAATCTGAAAACGATTAATCGATTACTAAAATAGTTGTCGACTATTTCAATAATCGATTAGTCGTCGATTAATCGATTAGTTGTTTCAGCCCTACTCTAAGCCAGAGGTGACGAGCTCATGATGGTCGAGGGCCTGCAAGAAAAGAAGGGATTGTATTTTTGGATAATTGTTTTGTACATTATGAAGGTAGTTTGACATTTGAGTGGTTAAAGCTGCACTAACTGACTTTGGGATTTTGAAGCCGCGGACTCTCTGGCCTCTCTTTCTGCTCCCCTCCCCGCACCCACGAAGCTATCGCCCCCCCACACACACCCACTGTTGGGACGGAGTTAGCGTCTCCCAATATGGATAATACATGGATATGGATTTGTACGTGGATGGCGTGACCATAGAACGATAGAACCGGGAAGAGCGGAGGAACGGGGCTTTCTTTTGGATGGCTGTGTCGCTGTGTAAGCAGTAACCGATGACGAAGACACACGAAGTTTCAGGTTAGCTCCTCGGCTTGTTGTGCTAACTCAGCCGTCTATGCTAACGGACCTGTAGATTTCTCACGAAAGTGGGGGCTAGTGGTCCACTGTGATTGGTCACAATCCGCGACCCGAAACACATTCTCTTCCTTGTTTCATCAAAACTTGATCTAAAATATAATGTCACGCCAGCACAAATCTGCGCTACTTTCTCTTCAAAATGATGTATATCCCAATGCACTACATGGACATGGATAGCATTTTCGTAATGAATACAAAAATAAAGTCAGTTAGTGCAGCTTTAACACTCGCTTTTCAGCAAGAAGGTCCTGGGTTTGAATCCCGTTCGGAACAGGGCCTTTCTGTGTGGAGTTTGCATGTTCTCCCCGTTTTGGCGTAGGTTTCCTTCAGGCGCTCCGGTTTCCCCTATCACTAAAACATGTACAATAGTTGGAATGTGTTTGGTCAGAGGTTTTGATGCTCTAGAGTGTTTGGCGTCTCGCTTCTGTCATCACTGTGTGAAGAGGATGGAACAATATCTGAACTCTGAACACTGTAAAGTGACCTTGGTTTGTAAAATGCGCTATATAAATAAATATTACTTACAAACACATTTCACGTCTAATGATGTTGGATTAAAATGTTAGAACTCATTACATTTGGTTGTTTTCCTGAGAAAATAGATGATGTATTACATGCCATGGTCGCTGGATTTGGCCCACGGGCCTGAGTCTGCCTCTCTGTAGGTGATCCTTCTGTGGAGGGGGACTCTGTGGAGGGGGACTCTGTGGAGGGGGACTCTGTGGAGGGGGACTCTGTGGAGGGGACTCTGTGGGGGGGCCTGTGGAGGGGGACTCTGTGGAGGGGGACTCTGTGGAGGGGACTCTGTGGAGGGGACTCTGTGGAGGGGGACTCTGTGGAGGGGGACTCTGTGGAGGGGGACTCTGTGGAGGGGGACTCTGTGGAGGGGGACTCTGTGGAGGGGGACTCTGGAGGACCGAAACCTTCTCACATTTCAATCTGGAGACACAACAGAGACAGAAAATGCATGAAATGATTTATTGATGAGTTGGTTTGTTGTTTGGCCTTTGACCCCAGAACTCGCTCTGAGAAGCTTTCAGTGTGTCTTCTCCAAAACACATTTACAAAACAAAGCACAAAAACACACTCACTACACTGTAATAATACGACAACATATAGCATCAACACAACATATAGTATCAACACAACATATAGCATCAACACAACATATCAACACAACACAACACAACATATAGTATCAAAACAACATATAGCATCAACACAACATATAGTATCAACACAACATATAGCATCTACACAACATACAGCATCAACACAACATACAGCATCAACACAACATACAGCATCAACACAACATATAGCATCAACACAACATATAGCATCAACACAACATATAGCAACAACACAACATATAGTATCAACACAACATGCACGGCACGGTGGCTGAGTGGATAGCACTCTCGCCTCTCAGCAAGAAGGTCCTGGGTTCGAATCCCGGTCGGACCAGGGCCTTTCTGAGTGGAGTTTGCATGTTCTCCCCGTGTCTGCGTAGGTTTCCTCCGGGTACTCCGGTTTCCCCTACCACTAAAAATATGTCCAATAGTTCTGGCATGCGCCTCCTGTACTGGCGACCCCGCTCCCATCTCTGTGTGGAGTGAGAGACAAATGCCCAAAATTAACAATTGTAAACCGCTTTGAGACTCAGATCTGCAGTGAAAAGGCGGTATATAAATAAAAACTTACTTACTTACTTACATATAGCATCAACACAACATATAGTATCAACACAACATATAGCATCAACACAACATATAGTATCAACACAACAACATATAGTATTAACACAACATATAGCAACAACACAACATATAGTATCAACACAACATATAGCATCAACACAACATATAGTATCAACATATAGTATCAACACAACATATAGCATCAACACAACATATAGCATCAACACAACATATAGTATCAACACAAGAACATATAGTATCAACACAACAACATATAGTATTAACACAACATATAGCAACAACACAACATATAGCATCAACACAACATATAGCATCAACACAACATATAGTATCAACACAACAACATATAGTATTAACACAACATATAGCAACAACACAACATATAGTATCAACACAACATATAGCATCAACACAACATATAGCATCAACACAACATATAGCATCAACACAACATATAGCATCAACACAACACAACATATTGCATCAACACATTTGATTGGTGGAGCAGTGGTTAGCACTTAGTGGTTCACAGCAAGAAGGTCCTGGGTTCGATTCCACCTCCAGGCCTTTCTGTGCAGAGTTTGCATATTCTCTGGGTGCTCCGGTCTCGCCTACCTCTAAAACCATGTACAGTAGGTCTGGCATGTCCCTCCTGTAGACGACCTGCTCCCATCTCTGTGTGGAGGGAGAGACAAATGCCCACAACAGTTAGATACTTTGTGACTCTGGTCTGTGAAAGGAGCCATATAAATAAAGATTACTTACTTACTTAAATAGTCATGACATTCTTTTAAATAAATACATGTTTGAATATATATTTTTCAGGGTCTCTCCCACTCATTAATCTCTCGCGAGACATAAGAGAAAAAGTAGCTTCTTAGATTTATATGACTTTTTTCCAAAGTTGTATAAAAAATGCCTCATTGTTGAATTGGGATGTATCGCATTGTATCTAGTTGTGAAATTTATATTGTTATATGTATCACATCTCCAGATACAAGGCAAGGCACACCCATCCATCCACCCATCCACCCATCCACCCACCCATCCATCCACCCATCCACCCATCCACCCACCCATCCATCCACCCATCCACCCACCCATCCATCCACCCACCCATCCACCCATCCATCCACCCACCCATCCATCCACCCACCCATCCATCCACCCATCCACCCATCCACCCATCCATCCATCCACCCACCCATCCACCCACCCATCCATCCATCCACCCACCCACCCATCCATCCATCCACCCATCCATCCATCCATCCACCCATCCACCCATCCACCCATCCATCCATCCACCCACCCATCCATCCACCCATCCACCCATCCACCCACCCATCCATCCACCCATCCACCCATCCATCCATCCATCCATGCATCCATCCACCCACCCATCCACCCATCCACCCATCCATCCATCCATCCATCCACCCATCCACCCATCCATCCACCCATCCACCCATCCACCCATCCATCCATCCATCCACCCATCCACCCATCCATCCATCCAATCCACCCACCCATCCATCCACCCATCCATCCCCCCATCCACCCATCCACCCATCCACCCACCCCATCCACCCATCCACCCATCCATCCATCCATCCACCACCCATCCATCCACCCATCCATCCACCCATCCATCCATCCACCCATCCACCCCCATCCACCCATCCACCCACCCATCCATCCACCCATCCACCCACCCATCCATCCACCCACCCATCCACCCATCCATCCACCCACCCATCCATCCACCCATCCACCCATCCACCCATCCATCCATCCACCCACCCATCCACCCACCCATCCATCCATCCACCCACCCACCCATCCATCCATCCATCCATCCACCCATCCACCCATCCACCCATCCATCCATCCACCCACCCATCCATCCACCCATCCACCCACCCATCCATCCACCCATCCACCCATCCATCCATCCATCCATGCATCCATCCACCCACCCATCCACCCATCCACCCATCCATCCATCCATCCACCCATCCACCCATCCATCCACCCATCCACCCATCCACCCATCCATCCATCCATCCACCCATCCACCCATCCATCCATCCAATCCACCCACCCATCCATCCACCCATCCATCCACCCATCCACCCATCCATCCACCCATCCACCCATCCACCCATCCATCCATCCATCCATCCATCCACCCATCCACCCATCCATCCATCCAATCCACCCACCCATCCATCCACCCATCCATCCACCCATCCACCCATCCATCCATCCATCCATCCACCCATCCATCCATCCACCCACCCATCCATCCATCCACCCACCCACCCACCCATCCATCCACCCATCCATCCACCCATCCACCCATCCATCCATCCATCCATCCATTTTCTTCCCCTTAATCCATTTCTGTGGGTGTACTGGTGTGTTGTGGTGTTGTGTATGGGTGTACTGTTGTGTTGTGGTGTTGTGTATGGGTGTACTGGTGTGTTGTGGTGTTGTGTTTGGGTGTACTGGTGTGTTGTGGTGTTGTGTATTGGTGTAGTGTTGTGATGTTGTGTAGTGTTGTGTATGGGTGTACTGGTGTGTTGTGGTTTTGTGTATGGGTGTACTGGTGTGTTGTGGTGTTGTGTATGGGTGTACTGGTGTGTTGTGGTGTTGTGTATGGGTGTACTGGTGTGTTGTTGGGTTGTGTGTGGGTGTACTGGTGTGTTGTTGTGGTTGTGTGTCTGTGAGCTCTGTACCACAGACACACAATAAGAGCAAGTCCGGGGTCTCTTCCCGGGCAGAACCACTGAGACGCCTTTAATCTGACTCCTTGCCGGTGGGGGTGTACCCGGAAACAGAATCCTTCTTTCCTCTGGAAAAAGTTTTCACTGTCTGGTCCAAAAGTTGCTCTTGGCCCAAGGCTATGTTCCAAATGCGGTAAATGAGAGGGGTATTTTATTTTGGACCAGCGGACTCGCCGCTGCAGACGTTTGAATGCACTCGTTAAATGAATGGGGCTGATGCAGCTAACGCTCAAATGCGTTTTTTCACATTTTCCTGTGGGAGGGGCAAAAGTGATGACACATATGTTTCAACAGCGGAGATAAACGCCACTACGTTCGTTGATATTTATAGTCTCTGGGTGGTGTTTGCGTGTTCTCCCTGTGTCTGTGTAGGTTTCCTCTTGTGCACCAGTTTGTCCTTCACTAAAAACATGCACAATAGGTCACATCCTCCAGCTCTGGTCATGACCGAGAGCATCAGCCTCTGGGGCTGGGTCTCTGGGCGCTGTTCTTTAGTGACCTCCACTCCTGACGGACGCTCTGGTGCAGGATGTACACTTTAACCTTCCCCTTTCTATATCAATGTTCTAAACACTGAAGAAGAAATGAAATAAAAATGTGTCTTAAACAATGGCAGCAGCCTCACTGGCAGTGAGAGCAGAGAGCAGCGAGTCCAGAGCAGTCTTTACATAAGTGACATGTGGAGCTGGGCATAATGAGGCAGATGTAATCCACCCCTCACTGTTTGTTTTCACTGAGTCACTGCTGCTGCGCTAACGAAGGCTTATCCTGAGCTACAACTGATCACTGTGTGCTGGACTGCAGTTTGACCAAAGCCACAACTCTTCATAGTAAAGTGCATGAGATGTCCCCTTTAACATTCTCTCGAGGTCAAATAATGCAGCGTTAACAGCAGTGTAGTTGTCTTTATTTAAGCCTACTACATATCTGTGCTCAAATAGTTTGGATCTGTTTTTTTTCCAAGCGGCTGCACACGGCTCTGGCCATGAGTACGGTGAGCGGCGCAGGCTGGAGCACTCGTGTGGCTAACGTGCTCGCCATGAGGCGCCCAGGGCAGCGGTAAATATAGCAGCGAGCACGCGGCGCATTCACAGCAGCTTCCTGGACAATAGTCGTACTGAGGACAAGACAAAGCCTCGCTCTGAGGCCGGAGCAGAGAGCAGCAGAGCCACCACTCACTGCACTTTGATCCCTGCGGCTTTGTTCAAGCACTTTATTCCACTTTATTCATGAAATATTTGTAACTGAAGCAAACACATAAACATTCACAGTCATGCAGCGATGGCACAGAAACATTCATCTGGATCTTTATCATTCAGTTAATGGAGTCATTGGATTATTTGATTTGAATTATTTCACTGGTTCATTATGTATTAACAGAATACTCAGCACTAAGATGCAAAACAACACTTTTATCTCTCCACACAAGCTGGAAAACAGCTGCAGAATATTCACAAGTCCTGAAGTCCTCTCACATTTGTCCTGGTCTCAGGTCTCTGTCCTGAAGTCCTCTCACATTTGTCCTGGTCTCAGGTCTCTGTCCTGAAGTCCTTTTACACTAGTCCTGGTCTCAGGTCTCTGTCCTGAAGTCCTCTCACATTAGTCCTGGTCTCAGGTCTCTGTCCTGAAGTCCTCTCACATTAGTCCTGGTCTCAGGTCTCTGTCCTGAAGTCCTCTCACATTAGTCCTGGTCTCAGGTCTCTGTCCTGAAGTCCTCTCACATTAGTCCTGGTCTCAGGTCTCTGTCCTGAAGTCCTCTCACATTAGTCCTGGTCTCAGGTCTCTGTCCTGAAGTCCTTTGACATTAGTCCTGGTCTCAGGTCTCTGTCCTGAAGTCCTCTCACATTAGTCCTGGTCTCAGGTCTCTGTCCTGAAGTCCTCTCACATTAGTCCTGGTCTCTGGTCTCTCTCCTGAAGTCCTTTTACATTAGTCCTGGTCTCAGGTCTCTGTCCTGAAGTCCTCTCACATTATTCCTGGTCTCTGGTCTCTGTCCTGAAGTCCTTTCACATTAGTCCTGGTCTCAGGTCTCTGTCCTGAAGTCCTCTCACATTAGTCCTGGTCTCTGGTCTCTACAGTGGCTTGTTAGTCTGTAAGACTCATAGACGACACTCCTCACACACCAAATGTGTAAGAAAAAACAATGGAAGAAATACTGTAATGTACAGAGCCATGTGTGGTGGGAACACTTTGTCAAGTGACATTCATTTAAACAATAAGTACCGATTGAAGGACGTCTGTTTCATGTAAATGGTTGATTTGAAAAGTTGTGTTAGTTGTGTGACCAAATGTTCTGCTGCCAAGACTTAGATTAATCTCATGTTTTCAGTTTTTCAGTATATTTCCAGGTCCTTTGTACAGTTGCGTGTGTATGTATGTTGTGTGTGTGTATTAGGGCTGAAACAACTAATTGATTAATCGACGACTAATCGATTATTGAAATAGTCGACAACTATTTTAGTAATCGATTAATCGTTTTCTGGTTCAAACAGAGCAAAAATGACATAAAAATGTAGTATTTTTAATTAAAACCGACTTTGTTTTTATAATTTCATGAATATCTGTCTGTCTCATCCAATCAGAGCAGAATTAGCACAAAGAGCCTGTTACAAACATTTACTTTAAGTTTACGCCATCAATACGTCCTCGAGTGTTGCCACTTTAGCTTTTTGTGATGAAATTTTTTTTTTTTTTCTACACAATTCACAGCCAAGCGATTACTCGATTAATCGTAAAAATAATCGATAGATTAATCGATTACAAAATAATTGTTAGTTGCAGCTCTAGTGTGTATGTTGTGTGTGTGTGTGTGTGTGTGGGGGCGGGGTGTAGTTTAATGTATCATTGTTGGTAAAAATTGGTGTAAATATTGTTTGTGTGACCAGCTGGACTGACTCCAGGAAGAATAGCTGTACTTGTTATAGCTAATGGAGATCAAATAAATACAAATACAAAAGCAGTGAGAAACATCAAGCCTTTTTTGTTTTAATGCTGAGGATTGTTTCACATTAGAAACTTCTCAGAAAATTTGACATTTCTGAAAATGGACTGATGGAATATGACTATATATGAATATATTAATAGAGTGCTTTTTATCCTAACCTGAGCACATCTGAATGGTCTCTCTGGTCTCTCTCTCTGGTCTCTCTGGTCTCTCTCTGGTTTCTCTCTGGTCTCTCTCTGGTCTCTCTCTCTGGTCTCTTACTGGTCTCTCTCTAATCTCTCTCTCTGGTCTCTCTGGTCTCTTACTGGTCTCTTACTGGTCTCTCTCTGGTCTCTCTGGTCTCTCTCTCTGGTCTCTCTCTGGTCTCTCGCTCTCTGGTCTCTCTCTGGTCTCCTCTCTGGTCTATCTGGTCTCTCTCTGATCTCTCTCTCTGGTCTCTCTGGTCTCTCTCTGGTCTCTCGCTCTCTGGTCTCTCTCTGGTCTCCTCTCTGGTCTATCTGGTCTCTCTCTGATCTCTCTCTCTGGTCTCTCTGGTCTCTCTCTGGTCTCTCTCTGATCGCTCTCTGGTCTCTCTCTGGTCTCTCTGGTCTCTCTCTGGTCTCTCTCTGATCGCTCTCTGGTCTCTCTCTCTGGTCTCTCTGGTCTCTCTCTGGTCTCTCTCTGGTCTCTCTCTGGTCTCTTACTGGTCTCTCACTGGTCTCTCTGATCTCTCTCTCTGGTCTCTCTCTGATCTCTTAGTAGACTGTAGATTTTTCCAGGCTGTGCAGATGTAGTTTGTTTTGTTCCTTGTTCTGAACTATTTTATTGTGATAAAAAAACTCTGATTGTAGTTAAGTTTGGAGGGCGGGGCTCATAACCTTTGCCCACTCCTTTTGAGCAGAATAAAAACTGTTCAATTAAATCAAATTAGCTTTTTTTTGTCCAAGTTCAGGCTCAGAAACATGGCATCAGCTCGGTGTTAAGCAGGAGGCAGGGACCTGTAACTGCTCAGGATGAAGGGACACTATAATCCCTTAAAAATACACATGTGAAAATAAGTAAAATACAGATATACACATAACTTTCTGAGATTTCTGAAAACAAGAAAGTAATACTCGCCCCAAATGACTTGATTCTAGTATAAAAGCATACATTTCAAGTATGCTTTTACTATCCACTCAGCACGGTGGCTGAGTGGATAGCACTCTCGCCTCTCAGCAAGAAGGTCCTGGGTTCAAATCCCGGTTGGACCAGGGCCTTTCTGAGTGGAGTTTGCATGTTCTCCCCGTGTCTGCGTAGGTTTCCTCCGGGTGCTCCGGTTTCCCCTACCACTAAAAATATGTACAATAGGTATGGCATGTGCCTCCTGTACTGGCACTCCCAAAAAAATAACAATTGTAAACCGCTTTGAGACTCCGATGTGTAGTGAAAAGGCGGTATATAAATAAAAGCTTACTTACTTACTTACTTACTAAGTATTATTTTTTTCTTAGGGTTAGGGTTTTTCTTAAAATACTGCATAACATACTTATTTTATTTAAACAAGAAAACAAGTAAAAATTCTTAAAACAAGCATTACAAACTCACTGCTCAGACTGTTTTCTACGATTACACAAGTTGACAGCCAAAAAATGGTCAGGGGTTTCTCAACTGATTTAGATTTAGACTAATTTTGGGATTCTTTTTGAGATACAGCCATAGTGTTACGGATTATGTACGTCTACGTTATTATGAATTCTGCTTATCAAATTTGATGGAGTAAATAAAAACTGAATGACTTTGGATACGTTGACTTTTATTTCTTGTGGAAAACAGAAAAAACGTCAAGGGTTTCTCAGCTGATGATCCGCAGAAATCTGTTTTTTTGCGCAAAATCGATTTAAAAAAATGTTTCTGTAGCAAAAAATCCTGACCTGATTGAGCAAAACCAAGGTCATTTTCGGACTCAGAGATCAAAATTAGTTTAATTCAGCTGGAAAACCCTGGACTATTTTCAAAAAATATTTTTTTGTTACCCAGTGTTATGAAGTATTATCATCTTTAAACTAGTGAAATAATCTTACATGACAAACTATATTCAATCCAAGTAATTTTACCAAGATTTTACTTTTACTCAGTGTAGCGCCTCGTGTGGCCTGTTGTTGTGCCATTGTGCTTTGTGTGATGGCTCCTCCTCTGGCCACGCCCCCTGGACCCCCACCCCCCCCCCCGCAGTCGGTGGGGGAGTTTATGTAATATTTCCCGTCAGAGCGGAGTGGGCCGGCTGTAATCTGTCTGTGAGTGAGAGACCAGTGCTAAGCCTTCTCTCCTCTGCTCCATCTCGCCTCCATTCAATTCAACGTATTTTTGTTTGGCTCTAAATCACTATAAAGGTAAAGATACAGGCGCACTTTATTGTCCCCGTATGTTAATTCATCCTCTGCATTTGACCCATCCTGATGCCGCTAAGGCTTACGTCAGGAGCAGTGGTCGCCGTAGTAACAGCGCGCAGGAACCCATCTCCAGATGTTGATGCTCGGGTTGGTCAGGAGTACCAGAGCTGGAGGATTTAACTTTGTGTGCATGTTCGCATGGCGCCGTGGCAAGAGCTCTGGTGTGTGTTGGTGCACACTGGGGTAGTCTTGCACAGTTTTTCCAATGTGGTTTTACTGCAAATGGCAAATAAATGAATCTGAATCTGAATCTGATCTGATGTATTTAGTGTTAGGGGAAAACAGAGTACCTGGAGAAAACCTACGCAAGCACGGGGAGAACGTGCAAACTCCTACTCCTACTCCAACTACTACCCGTTTTGATCGAGTAGGACTTTGGAGGACTTTACAAAGCTTTCAAACAGTTCAAACACAAGAAATGCAACAATAACAAACACATAGAGCCATTGGTCCATAACGGGCAGAGACCAATGTTCATAAATGTTGATAATTGTCCATAAATGTTTGTAAATGTTGATAAATGTGCATAAAAAGTCTCTCTCTCTCTGCGGAGCTGTCGGTGGTGGGACTGTTGTGATATAGCCTGGTCTTAGCCATCTGTAAACTCCGGTCAATAGGCTATATACACAGGGAGGCGTGACGTCATTTCCTGTTAACGCAGATCAGCCCGTTCACTTCCTGCCTATGCTATCCTATGGCTTTTAGGTGGGTTTTAGTGATGTTTTTTAGTAATTAGATCGATACATTCAGCTGAGACTGACCCAAAAGTGTCGCTGTGCTTTCTCTCTAGAGGTAGAGCTTTGACTGTGGCCACTCAGAGAGATTTGTAGACTTTATAAAAACACAATGAAAGCACAATCAAAGAGCACTGCTGTGTCCCAAAAATGCCCAGTATCCTCACAGTTTAGTTCCCGTTTGAGCATTATTTGGGAAACTCGTGTAAACCACTGCTGAACTCCAGTGAAACTCAAGCCGTTCCCCGCGCACAGGAAGTGAAGTGGGGCTTTAGCTAAAACGGGGAAGTGGTGCGTGCATACAGTCCATGATCATTTCCTACATGTACGTCTGGGTCTGATCCTAGTGGCTGTGGTTTCCTCGGTTGAATCCCCTCAGACCAATCAGCGAGCAGGGGAGGCGGGTGTTGTAGGTAGGTGTCGGTGACGTCAAGAGTTTGCACCGTTGTAGTTTGGCAATGGCGGCGAATGTGATAGTAAAGTAAAAATTGAATCCGGAGCAAGAGGTATGTGTAGCAAGTTTCAATAATGGCAAAGATGTTGTGGCTCTACTGCCCACAGGCTCCGTTAGTGGCAAAGGAGATGGCTAAAGCTAGGCTACATGCTAAAATGCTAAAGGAGTTAACCCATCCCACCTGTTAACGGAGCTCAACGGAGCAAACCCAGCCCTTAGAACGAAATGAAATGAGTACAATGGTGTGGTTAGACCAGGCTGGTTGTGACATGTTTCAGAGTTCAGAAGGTTCAAACAAATGATTTTACAGATATGTGTGGATTATAAGTTGATTTCTGTTGTGTGTTTTGCTCGTAGGACAAAACAAGAGCTGATTGTGTTTCAGCTTGAAAGGTCAAAACTCCTGGATTTGCATCTTTTACATAATAAAAAAAGATCAGGGATTTGCCAAATCAGCAAAATAACAGTTTGGACTTTGGCACGAGTTACGGACAGAGGGGAAATGCACTCTAATACAATCAGCATTATATTCCACCCACTTTCATGACCACAGGACTAACATGAGATTATTAAGAAGGAATTATCCTTATCATCAGGAGGTACTGTGTTAGACCTTAAAGTGGTTCAGCCCTGGTTCAGCCCTGGTTCAGTCCTGGTTTAGACCTGGTTTAGACCTGGTTCAGCCCTGGTTCAGTCCTGGTTCAGTCCTGGTTTAGACCTGGTTCAGCCCTGGTTCAGTCCTGGTTCAGTCCTGGTTTAAACCTGGTTCAGTCCTAGTTCAGTCCAAGCTTAGACCTGGTTTTGGCTTGTTCAGTCATAGGTTTAGTCCTGGTTGAGTCCTGGTTCAGTCCTTGTTCAGTCCTGGTTTAGCCCTGGTTTAGCCCTGGTTTAGCCCTGGTTTAGCCCTGGTTTAGCCCTGGTTTAGCCCTGGTTTAGTCCTGGTTTAGACCTGGTTTAGACCTGGTTCAGTCCTGGATTAGTCCTGGTTCAGTCCTGGTTCAGTCCAGACCTGTTTTATTTATTTTTATATCCTGAGATTTGCAAATATTGAAACGAGTGAGTCTCCAGTTTGAAACTTGTCGAATGATTCTGATTCCTTCAATTCCATGTGTTTGTGTATCGCCCTAAACCACAACAGCAGTCGTCTCCAAGGACTTTGTATAGTTGCCGATTTTCCAACAACAGATCAGAGAATCAAACAGTCCACAGACATCGGTCCACAGGGAGCAGGACGACCATTGTCAACATTGTCAGACCTCCCTGATCTGTAAAGGACCACGCAAACATCTCAGTGAAATTACAATACACTGTACGTACAAATAACAAGTAAATGATTATACACTGCAAAAAACGATAAATATGAGGTGATAAATGCTTTAAACGAGTGGTTTTTATCATAACTCATTGACTGCCATTGACGTATTTGTCTGAGACTGGTGATATCTTACCCTGGCCTTATCCATCTGTACTCTCCGCTCAATCATCATTTCACTGCATGTAACGTCTGGGTCTGGTCCCTGTGTTTGCGATTACAATCGGTTGAATTTTGACCGACCAATCAGCGAGCTTGGAAGGCGGGTGTTGTAGTTAGTTGTGGGTAGGGCTGGGCGATTAATCGATTTTAATCATTAATTCGAGTTTTACGTTTAGGGCGATTTCTTTTTTTAAAAATTCGATTTTTATTTTCTCCAGCGCAGAACTACAGCGCTAACGCGCTAACCGCGGGTCTATGGTGTTGAGCAGTCATTTTGAAGCTAACCTAATGCTAACAGTCTCCCTCTGGCCTGATGCTCGCTCTCACAGTTGGTGCTGTTGCAATAACACTTCAAACATTCAAGAATCAGACTTTATTTAATCGCCAGAACACACACACACACGCACACAGGCTCCGGTCGCTATGTTCGTACGCCATGTTCGTACGCCACATCTTTCACGCTCTCTCACGCTCGTTATTCCAAAGCTCACTCCCGTGTCCGTGGCGCGCACACACTCGTGTCCCACTGAGCCGCTGCACTTTGGGGAAAGACACGTCTCACACATTGTTCTCATTGCTCTGATACAAACAACGTGTTCCCCGCTGTCTGCTAGCTACAGTAGCTGCTACAGTAGCTGTTAGCTACAGTAGCTGCTACAGTAGCTGTTAGCTACAGTAGCTGCTACAGTAGCTGTTAGCTACAGTAGCTGCTACAGTAGCTGTTAGCTACAGTAGCTGCTACAGTAGCTGTTAGCTACAGTAGCTGCTACAGTAGCTGTTAGCTACAGCATCAGAATGTAAACAGGAAGCTCGCACAATGCGGGAGTCACTGAAGTTAGTATTAGCGCCACCAGCTGGACCGAGCGTTGTACTACAGCACAGTTACTCAGGCACAGTTGAAAGAACAAGCATGAAAACCCGAGGAGGTTTTTGGAAAAGACTGTTACAACATTTCTACTTTGAGTAATCAGTTTTAAAAATGTGATATTTCATGTAAATAATGCATGTGTTTAATAGGATTGATATATTTGCGATGGGCCTTGTTTGTGTGATTTAAGTTATTTTGAAGGTGCATAGTGTCATTGTAAGTGAAGTTATTATAAAACTGTTAAGCTACATTTTCACTGTTTACAATGGCAGAGCCATCTCGTTTACAAGCATGTTTTAAGGCTTAATTCCTGTTACACTTATGCTCCATGGGGATTTAGATTCAACTGCATAAAGGAAAATCTATTTCTTTGTCAGTTGTAGTTTGTTTTTAAATAGAAAAAAATAAATCGATTTAAAATCGAAAATCGGATTTGGTGTGAAAAAATCGGAGATTTTTTTTTTTTGCCATATCGCCCAGCCCTAGTTGTGGGTGACGTCAAGTTTGCGTCGAACGGGCAGGTTGTAGTTTGGTAATGGCGAAAAATGCGATAGTAAAGTAATCCGGTCTGGTTCTGTCAAGAAACTGAAGGCGGAGCAAGAGGAATGTTTAGCAAATGTAATCGCTGGAAAAAATTGTGGCGCTACTCCCCACGGGCTCCGTTAGCGGTTAAGGAGATGGCTAAAGCTAGGCTAAATGCTATATGCTAACGACTCACTTGGGCGCACAACCTGCATGACGGTAAACTCAGATCCAATCGTTTCAATCTGCAAAAGGAGTTAACCCCTCCCACCTGTTCACGGAGTCAATGGAGCAAATCCAGACCTTAGTATGAAATGTACTTTGTAATTTGACCAGGCGAGTGATTTCTGTCAAACCTCCCTGTATTCGACCGAGGAATACAGGAGAACAAAACTAGCTAGTAACCAACATATTTTTTCTGATGAAAGTAGACAGTCCAATTTTTCCAGAATCCAGTTTCATCTTTCACATAGCCATATCACATAATATTTTGTGGGTCTTGAAAGTCAGTGAAATCATCAAAAACGGCTGAGTTAATTCTGACTGTATTAAAACAAGATCCTCCAATGGGACAAAGCCAGTTAGTCTAATTTCAAGAACTATCTAAAACAAGATAGTTTTGTCCCATCAGTCAATCTTGTTTTAAGGCAGTCAGAATGTGCTTGAATTAAAATCTGTTTTGCCAAATGTTAGCTTTATTTTTCATCACTTTTGGCAGTGTGGCATACTTGGGTTCCTGCTTCTTGTGGGGTCCTGGCCTGTAGAGTGTGGGACCCCCTGACAGTGAGTGTGGGTGCTTGGTTTGGGCGATGGGAGACGGAGCAGAGAACCTGAGGACTGCTGCTTTATTGATGCAGGACACAGGAGCTGTCAGTGCTGCTGTCTGTGCTGCTGCTCTGAAATAGTAATACGTCTTTCACCTGAGCCTGCTGCTGCTGCTGCTGCTGCTGCTGCTGCTGCTGCTGCTGCTGCTGCCGCCGCGCTGCTGCTGCGCTGCTGCCGCCGCTGCCGCCGCTGCCGCCGCTGCTGCCGCCGCTGCTGCCGCCGCTGCTGCCGCCGCTGCTGCCGCCGCTGCTGCCGCCGCTGCTGCCGCCGCTGCTGCCGCCGCTGTTGCTGCCGCTGCTGCTGCCGCTGCCGCCGCCGCCGCTGCCGCTGCTGCTGCCGCTGCTGCTGCTGCTGCCGCTGCTGCCGCTGCTGCTGCCGCTGCTGCTGCTGCTGCTGCTGCCGCTGCTGCTGCCGCTGCTGGCGCTGCCGCCGCTGCTGCCGCTGCTGCTGCCGCTGCTGCTGCCGCTGCCGCCGCCGCTACCGCTGCTGCTGCTGCCGCCGCCGCCGCTGCCGCGGCTGCCGCCGCCGCTGCTGCTGCTGTTGTTACTACACGCACTAGGGAGAGACCACAGTCTGGGGTTAGATCCTGATTCAGACCTATTTTAATGGATCTATTATAATAACTGGATAGGGTTATACTGGCTTGGAGCTGAAGAACCATGTGCTCGGGGGATTCTCGCGGTACTGCAGACTGAACCAGACTAAATTCACGTGGGCTACCCAGAAATGTTCCCCATAGATCTCAATGTAAACTAAAACAGCTCGACCTCAGCTGACACAGAACCTGACAGAGAACCTACAGCTTTCATAAAGGTCAGATTTTAGTGTCCCTTGTCATCCTGCACTAATTCCGTCTTAAATCCTTCAGTTTTCTTTAAATCCTCACTTTAATGCAACAAACTCTGCTCAATCCTAATCAGATCCTTTGCAAATGTGACCTAAAACCTACTTCCGGGTTCACCGCAGTCGCTTTTTGATGCTTCAAAACAGTATTTTTTTCATGAAAACGTTTACTGATCATTCTGAAAACCTCAGTGCACGTGTGTTAAGAATGTATATATATAATGTAATGTTTAGATTAACATTTAAAGGTGTTGATTGATTGATATTTGTGTTTTTGAGCGTGTCTCCCGCTCAGACAGAAGTAATAATTGACAGCCCGTTGTGACGAAGTGTACGAACTACTGTCCGTAGTATCTTAGTATTTTACACACCTGAAGTGATTGATGACTATGATTAATAATTCAAATGTATTTTAAATATTTAAATTAATAAACAAGCAAACTTCGAATATGATTTTTTTTGCAAATGTCAAAGCCCTCGTCCTGATTTAGAAACTTTTGTTGGTCTAAATCCAGACTAATAAAATGGTTGTTGTAAGTTGTTATTAAAAGCAGTCCTGATGCCACAGTTTCTGATTTATGATGACTGCGACTTTCAAAGCCTTTGGCAAAGTTCCTGATTGAAGGGACAAGTTCATTATTTCAGTGAGTAATGAGAGGAAACTGCCTACCACAAATATCTCGTGGGCAAAACACCAAGGCTACACATGCTCCTGCAGGAAACTATATTCTGGACTGTATTGTTGTTGACAGTGAAGAAATGAGGGACATCATAGTCGGATTTAAGATTTCTGTTTGTGGGGCAGGAGTGATTGTGTTTTTTATGCTCTGTACCTTTTCATTGAACACGGTGCAGAGCATAAAGAGCAGTTGTATTAAACCCTCGTGGCGACTGAGAGGGTGGATTTGTTCATGTCCTTGTCCTTTTGCGAACAGGACACGAGAGTTATTTACATTACTGCCTATAATTTCAGAAGAATACCTTTCCCTTGTTCTACATAACATGTCATTGGAGCACTTTAATTTAGTTTCATAAATCTCATGGTGAGGAGGCAGGAGGGACCAGGGGCTGGAGAGGAGGAGGCAGGAGGGACCAGGGGCTGGAGAGGAGGAGGCAGGAGGGACCAAGGGCTGGAGAGGAGGAGGCAGGAGGGACCAGGGGCTGGAGAGGAGGAGGCAGGAGGGACTAGCGGCTGGAGAGGAGGAGGCAGGAGGGACTAGCGGCTGGTGAGGAGGAGGCAGGAGGGACCAGGGGCTGGAGAGGAGGAGGCAGGAGGGACCAGCGGCTGGAGAGGAGGAGGCAGGAGGGACCAGGGGCTGGAGAGGAGGAGGCAGGAGGGACCAGGGGCTGGAGAGGAGGAGGCAGGAGGGACCAGGAGATGGAGAGGAGGAGGCAGGAGGGACCAGGGGCTGGAGAGGAGGAGGCAGGAGGGACCAGGGGCTGGAGAGGAGGAGGCAGGAGGGACCAGGGGCTGGAGAGGAGGTGGCAGGAGAGACCAGGGGCTGGAGAGGAGGTGGCAGGAGAGACCAGGGGCTGGAGAGGAGGAGGCAGGAGGGACCAGGGGCTGGAGAGGAGGAGGCAGGAGGGACCAGGGGCTGGAGAGGAGGAGGCAGGAGGGACCAGAGGCTGGAGAGGAGGAGGCAGGAGGGACCAGGGGCTGAGAGAGGAGGAGGCAGGAGGGACCAGGGGCTGGAGAGGAGGAGGCAGGAGGGACCAGGGGCTGGAGAGGAGGAGGCAGGAGGGACCAAGGGCTGGAGAGGAGGAGGCAGGAGGGACCAGGGGCTGGAGAGGAGGAGGCAGGAGGGACTAGCGGCTGGAGAGGAGGAGGCAGGAGGGACCAGCGGCTGGAGAGGAGGAGGCAGGAGGGACCAGGGGCTGGAGAGGAGGAGGCAGGAGGGACCAGGGGCTGGAGAGGAGGAGGCAGGAGGGACCAGCGGCTGGAGAGGAGGAGGCAGGAGGGACCAGGGGCTGGAGAGGAGGAGGCAGGAGGGACCAGGGGCTGGAGAGGAGGAGGCAGGAGGGACCAGGAGATGGAGAGGAGGAGGCAGGAGGGACCAGGGGCTGGAGAGGAGGAGAGGAGGGACCAGGGGCTGGAGAGGAGGAGGCAGGAGGGGACCAGCGGCTGGAGAGGAGGAGGCAGGAGGGACCAGCGGCTGGAGAGGAGGAGGCAGGAGGGACCAGCGGCTGGAGAGGAGGAGGCAGGAGGGACTAGCGGCTGGAGAGGAGGAGGCAGGAGGGACCAGGGGCTGGAGAGGAGGAGGCAGGAGGGACCAGGGGCTGGAGAGGAGGAGGCAGGAGGGACCAAGGGCTGGAGAGGAGGAGGCAGGAGGGACCAGGGGCTGGAGAGGAGGAGGCAGGAGGGACTAGCGGCTGGAGAGGAGGAGGCAGGAGGGACTAGCGGCTGGAGAGGAGGAGGCAGGAGGGACCAGGGGCTGGAGAGGAGGAGGCAGGAGGGACCAGCGGCTGGAGAGGAGGAGGCAGGAGGGACCAGGGGCTGGAGAGGAGGAGGCAGGAGGGACCAGGGGCTGGAGAGGAGGAGGCAGGAGGGACCAGGAGATGGAGAGGAGGAGGCAGGAGGGACCAGGGGCTGGAGAGGAGGAGGCAGGAGGGACCAGGGGCTGGAGAGGAGGAGGCAGGAGGGACCAGGGGCTGGAGAGGAGGTGGCAGGAGAGACCAGGGGCTGGAGAGGAGGAGGCAGGAGGGACCAGGGGCTGGAGAGGAGGAGGCAGGAGGGACCAGGGGCTGGAGAGGAGGAGGCAGGAGGGACCAGAGGCTGGAGAGGAGGAGGCAGGAGGGACCAGGGGCTGGAGAGGAGGAGGCAGGAGGGACCAGGGGCTGGAGAGGAGGAGGCAGGAGGGACCAGGGGCTGGAGAGGAGGAGGCAGGAGGGACCAAGGGCTGGAGAGGAGGAGGCAGGAGGGACCAGGGGCTGGAGAGGAGGAGGCAGGAGGGACTAGCGGCTGGAGAGGAGGAGGCAGGAGGGACCAGCGGCTGGAGAGGAGGAGGCAGGAGGGACCAGGGGTGGAGAGGAGGAGGCAGGAGGGACCAGGGGCTGGAGAGGAGGAGGCAGGAGGGACCAGCGGCTGGAGAGGAGGAGGCAGGAGGGACCAGGGGCTGGAGAGGAGGAGGCAGGAGGGACCAGGGGCTGGAGAGGAGGAGGCAGGAGGGACCAGGAGATGGAGAGGAGGAGGCAGGAGGGACCAGGGGCTGGAGAGGAGGAGGCAGGAGGGACCAGGGGCTGGAGAGGAGGAGGCAGGAGGGACCAGCGGCTGGAGAGGAGGAGGCAGGAGGGACCAGCGGCTGGAGAGGAGGAGGCAGGAGGGACCAGCGGCTGGAGAGGAGGAGGCAGGAGGGACTAGCGGCTGGAGAGGAGGAGGCAGGAGGGACCAGGGGCTGGAGAGGAGGAGGCAGGAGGGACCAGGGGCTGGAGAGGAGGAGGCAGGAGGGACCAGCGGCTGGAGAGGAGGAGGCAGGAGGGACCAGGGGCTGGAGAGGAGGAGGCAGGAGGGACCAGGGGCTGGAGAGGAGGAGGCAGGAGGGACCAGGAGATGGAGAGGAGGAGGCAGGAGGGACCAGGGGCTGGAGAGGAGGAGGCAGGAGGGACCAGGGGCTGGAGAGGAGGAGGCAGGAGGGACCAGCGGCTGGAGAGGAGGAGGCAGGAGGGACCAGCGGCTGGAGAGGAGGAGGCAGGAGGGACCAGCGGCTGGAGAGGAGGAGAGGCAGGAGGGACTAGCGGCTGGAGAGGAGGAGGCAGGAGGGACCAGGGGCTGGAGAGGAGGAGGCAGGAGAGATGGAGTGCGTGCGTGTGTGTGTGTGTCTGTCTGTGTGCGTGTGTCTGTCTGTGTGCGTGTGTGTGTGTCCGTGTGTATATGTGCATGTGTGTGCGTGTGCATATGTGTGTGTGTCTGTGTGTGCGTATATCTGTCAGTGTGTAAGTGTGTCTGTGTGTGTCTCTGTGTGCGTGTGTCTGTGTGTGCGTGTGTCTGTGTGTGCGTGTGTCTGTGTGTGCGTGTGTCTGTGTGTGCATGTGTGTGCGTCTGCGTGTGTGTGAGATGCAGGCGGCTGTGTTTTTGACCAGTTGGAGTTTGTGGAGGGTTTTTTATGCGTCTGCTTCATCCAACCCCTTTTCAAAACATGTATGTCTGTTATTTTGTTGGATATTTGTTGTACATGTCCTGACATAGTGTGTGGTCAGCTGACAGTGTGTGTTCTTCACTGTGCGGTTTGTCCTGTTGCTTTCCTTGTATGTGACTCTCTCTCAGAATGACTTACAGGTAAATGTGCACTTTATACTGCACATCTTCTGCATTTGACCCATCCTGATGCCACTAAGGCCTACGTCAGGAGCAGTGGTCGCCGTAGTAACAGCGCCCGGGAACCCATCTCCAGATGTTGATGCTCGGCTTCGTCAGGAACGGAGCTGGAGGATTGTGTATGTTTTAGTGGTAGGGGAAACCGGAGCACTCGGAGATAACCTACTCAGGCACGGAGAGACCATGCAAACTCCACTCAGAAAGACCCTGTTCCGACCGGGATTCGAACACAGGACCTTCTTGGTGAGAAGCGAGAGTTCTATCCACTCCGTGCCCTGGAAGCGTCTGGCCAGTTCCAGTCCAGTTCCAGTCCGCCATCTTCTGTCTGTCCTTCTTCTCGTGCTCAGCTCGTCTGCATCACGTGAGAAATAACAAAATTGACAAGTTGGTTCAACTCCACTTCTAAATATAAATTGACCAGAATGCTCAGGTCTTTCATCTACAACACATTCTACAAAGTGCCCCCCCTCCCCCCATGGGACAGCACCTGCACACCCTGTTTTTTCCCATATTGCCAGCCATATGCAATACAGCCGGAGTCATCCATTCCCTTTTCTTCCGCTTCATCCTTTGCCGGGTTACGTGGGCAGCAGTCTAAGCAGAGCCGGCCAGGCATCCCTATCCGCACATACTCCCTCCAGCTCATCCGGGGGACCGCAACAAGGCGTTCCCAGACCAGCTGAGAGACATACTATAGTCGCTCCAGCGTATCCAGGAAATATTATTGCATTAATTCCCGTAACAAGGAAACACATAAAGATGATTGAAGTTATCAGAGCGTACCTTTGAACAGCACCATTCCAGCTCACACCAACGACCAAGACTGAAGGCTCAACACCCGCTCACTCGGACTGGATCCTCTTTCATACTGACACCCACTGGACTTGGAGGTCGCACATGTGTCTATTCTCTCACTGACGATGCACCACTACAGGGTCTACTCGGACTTGAACAGGACTCCGTAAGTTGCACCTTGTTATTCACAGCTTCTTCCCGGCTTTACTTGACCTGACACATGTCTTTTCTTCCGCAGTAATGAGACACAATCGTACTCCCACCGCACTGTGGCCCTAAATAAAACCGCTGCAGAGTTCTTCCAGTTCTATAATTCCAATATTAAAGAATTAATGGAGGTCGTTGAGAAGATGGAGGAATGTGAAGCTAAACTAAAGCGTATCCAGCAGAGAGCCAGCACGGGCAGAAGGATGGCAGTGATGGCGTACGGGGCCGGGGCAGCTGTGGACGTGGTGGCGGCTGTCTTTACAGGAGGGGCCAGCCTTCTGCTTCCAGGAGCGGGGGCCGCGTTGGTAGGGTCCGTGACGGGCTTTGGGGTTCGAACAATTGAGAAGAGAAAGACAAAGAAGAACAATAAGATCTTTCAGTCTCTGTGGGAAAAGTTCAGCAGCATTTGTTCAGTTCTGAGACAGAAGCTGCAGGACGTAAGGCGAGGCGTGGAGGGAATGA